ATTATGATATACAGGCCCAATCCCGTTGCAGAGGATGACAGAAACTATACCGACAGGGTGCATACGAACTGTCTTTTCCTTGCGATTAAGAGGGCGGCACTTCACGGCAACGAAGGCTAGTATTAACGCGCTATGCCAGCGAACGAATAACGTTGGACAAACCCGCAACTCCCAGCCAAGGGCCCGTGGCGACCTCAGGGGATATGAAAGGTAATCCAGACGCACAATCGAGTCAAGGGCTCTATTGGAGCGGGTGTAGTAGGTTTCTACGAGCATCGTATGGGAGTGCAAATCTACTAGGTACGTCGACTCAGACATATCACACCGTCTTAGGACAATGCTCTAATTCTGGGTATGAAGCATTTTCAACGGCAATTGAACGATGCAAACTGACGTTTCTATAAGCTTGGGCGTGTCGTTTTCATAACTAGTCGATGAGGACCCATGATCCGTACCAGATTTGCTTCAATCTGCCGAGCACAACCCGGAATGAAGCATGTTTGCAATCTCGGGTTGCCCATACAGTTGGAGACAGTGTGGTTCCAGTTTTCCAATCCGACACTCACCATGGCAAGTCCTGCCCGTCATACTTCTCCCAACCCGAAACACGAATGTTCTTGAAGCTACCGTTTTCCCGGGCACCAGCTGTCATGACTATATCCAATACAGCTTCTGCGCCTTGGGCAACAGTTAAGTCGGCATCTTGCCCTCCCATGTCACTTTTCAACCACTGGTAACTTCATTCAGTATTTCGACTCTTTCATTGAAAAGTGTGACTTACCCCAGGGCTCACTGAGAGGAAAATATACCCTTCGTCCTCGTAGGATAGAGCGTACTGCGTCATCAAAGAGTTCAAGGCAGCCTTGCTGATTTTATATGCAGGACAGGGAGCATAGACAGAGTCCCGGGCCAGAGTCAGAGAGCCAAATATGCTGGAGCTACACATGGGATGTGAGTGATCGACACACAAAGCACTTGGGCAGCGCTCAACCATTGGAGGAACTTACATGCTGACCACCTTCTTGATGTTACTAGCTTGCATCAAAGAAAGATAGTGCTGAAGAACATTGTGCGTACCAGTCACGTTGACCGAAAGTTGGTAGTCGAGATCACACCTGGCATCCGTCAGCTCGCACAACCCACTTGAAGAAGAAGATTTAGGTCGTACATTGAAGCAAGCTTTCCAAGAGTCACACTATGCACACCAGCGCAGTTTATCAGGATATCTAGGCTTCCTCCTGCCAGTGCCGACCTGACCTTCTCTGCCGACAGTGCAATCACCTCCTCGTCGGTGAGGTCCAGACATACAAAGACAACGGGGCATTTAGCCGACGTGATGAGTTCCTGGAGCTCTTTGCTGCATTTTCTAGCCGTTGCGACTACCACGCCATCTCGGAGCTCGGAGCGGGAAGCGAGCTGCCTCACCAATTCCAGGCCGAGGCCACGGGAGCTCCCAGTAACGAGGAAGTTGGGCATAAGGGACGATCAAACTTTGACGGCAAAACGTAATACAGGGTTGCTAATTTCTATTCCCTCAGATGATATTAATGGGCGATCTTTATATCGACACCGTCACGGTGAATGTCGGAACACATATCGCATTCTCTCGGACTTCCGAGCCAAAAGGGCAACCAACCGAATATTGGTGCGGGTCCCGTTTCTACATAGTGGACAAGACCCTTCTCATATCGGCTCAAGATTTTTCTAGGGTGCTCTTATGCCCAACTAGTGTAGTTGAGGAGCTGCGTTTTGTGTGGTGGAATGAGCCCTCCAGCTCCACACTCTGGGCAAGGCTCGAGGTGGACGGGTGATTCGGCATCTGAGATATCAAATCATGGATCAAAGAGACATCAAGTTCCTCCGCACGAAGAACGGCAATGAGAGACACCTGTGGAAGTTCTCTCCCCGCCCCACTCTTTATCACCCCTGTATTGTCTACCCTTATGCGCTGCCCTCCGGGTCATAGCCCTCCCATTGTCCTATCTGTGATGTCGAACCGCCACCATGCTCTTCCTATCCATGGATATTTCTAGTACTAGTCATCCCACGTCCCATAGTATGAATAGGTGTCCATTTCTTACCGACAAGCAAATCAAAAGAAAGGGCCCTGGGGGAACCTTGGAAGACGAATATTAAATCGAAATCCATAATCTTGAGCCCTTTGACATTTAAATGTCATAAGTCTCACTGAAATTAAGATCAAATTGGGGGAAATCATCACAGAAAGATGGAAAAAGCATGCTTAAATCGGTAGCAAAGAAAGGCAGTTGCTGAGAATCATTGACTCCTGCTGTAGGACTCAAAGAGACAGGCAGGGAGATGCCTGCTAGTTCTGTTTCGTTATGCCGCGCTTTTTTGGCTACAGCTCCTGCAACGAAAATCGCAATTGTTCATTAATTCGTGAACGAACTTGAGAGCTTTGGTTGCTTCTTGCCAAGTGAGAGATATTTCCTGCAGGGCATTGATGCAGGTCTGCAAACCCACTTGGGGATCGTCAGGGTGATCAGTTGTAAATAGATCATAAGATCGACAGTTAACAACCAACACTGTGCATGCATTGAGCAAGTAATGTATTATCACGAAAGCTGAATACCTCAGGCTGTAGTGAGATTGGTAGATCCGAGAAAGTTTCATAATTTCGAGAGCGTGGATTTTACAGGCCGAAGAGGCGCGATTCGAGAAAGATGTTTCCGTTGACTCGAGGGATTTGGTACAACCGCATGTGAGGATGAACGGGCGGTGCATCAAAATCAGGCAATTGTGATATGCCATTCTGTATTCATCAATCAATGTTATTGTCCCATACCTTTCATGGTACGCGCAGGGAAGAAACATACTCGAGCATTATCAAATGTGGCAATGGATGAGATAGGGAGAGTTTGGCCTCTTTGGGCAATTTCGCTCGCCATTGAATGACTTCCAGTTGATGCTTGTGAACGATCATGCTCACGTTTTTGATGACCAGTGCAGAATCTCTCTCCGCGTCGCTGATTTTGGAGAGCCCATTCCCGAAGTCATATCTGTGACTGAAAAGAGAAAAAGGTTAGTCGACATCCTACTATATTTCCATGAGAAATTTGACGCTTTACATCTCACAAAGAGCCTCATCATTTAATTTCCAAAATTCCATATCCAGGAATCTTCCCGAGGTCCTCCGCACGCTTATCATCTTGGCAAGATTTTCATCCGGTTTAAAAGAGAAGATGAAGATTCAACACCCGCTTGTTGAGGAAGAAAAATCAACATGCAATTCTTTGAAGCCGTTCCCCCCTCGGGGGACAATCTCGTCTATTCACTTTTCGGGTTCCAGGATCAACATCACAACTCCCCTTCCTTCCTCAAGGCCTTGGCACCAAGTTTGAAGCAGGCTGCGTCACATTTCGAAATCCTGACCAGGGATATAGAACAGTCATATTGATGGGTGTCTTTGATTCGAGAGCCAAATTCCTCGAGTGGTGGAATTCACCCTCCTCGCAGCAATGGTGGAAAAGTCTACCATCTACAGGCGGTGTCTGGCGCGAAGTCTTCAACATTTGCGCCTCCCGGTTTCAGTCAGGATTCAGCAACTCAACTCCCAGGGGAGTGGGGAACATCTTCGATCCACAGCCCAGTCAACGTGCCGGATACTGGGGATCTTATAGATCGCGGATTCCTGACTCGGTCCACGATGACTTTCAGCCAAGCTCTTCATTCACATTCTCAAAGAGGCAAAGTTCCTGTGACTCGAAAAAAATAATACCAGGGAGGGTCTCAATACAATTAAGACCAGAGAATATTTGCTTCATGCGAGAAGGCCAGGACTACGACACAGCCCACGTCACAGAGCGGGGGTCCAGAGAACTTCGGGAACTACGAGATATAGCGGATATGTGGTTGGACTTTTTGCAAAAATCATGGGATCGACTCGGGGGTCTCTCCTTCAGAAAATGCTCGGGTGTCTTGGATATAGACCTTGACTCTCTTGAGAATCTGAACCAGTTTCTCGTCTCCGAAAATCATGTCCAAATCGCACTTTTCCAGAGCCTAGGGCATGTGGAACGAATAGCGCGTGACTCGATGAAGCACCTCCGTCTTCATTCGTCAATGACAGAATTGTACTGTCCTATGGGGAAATTTAAGAATGGTGGATGTGGATTTTGGGTGGAGATGGGAATTCTGCATCAAAACGCGGTGGAAGCGGAGTACATCGGCTGCTACGAGGGTACGGGTTTGATGGCCAAGTTCACACATTCGCGCTCAGTACTACACGCCTTCAAGGTCCCGTTCCGATGGCTGTTTTGTCTTGCAGTCTTTTCTTTGTGGATCATAGCTCGTACCAGCTATTAGATAACAATCAATTTGATCAATCCCATCATACCCAGCTATACAAACGGTATCAAGAGCTAGCGAGTATGAATACTGCGTGTGCCTCTTATGGCATGCTTCCAATTTCGATTCAGAAACCAAGGGAACTTTGCAACGGGGGAAAAAAGAAAGATGCACAGAAGGAAAGTTACGACCCGAACGAAATCAAAGTAGTAGATGCATTTGTTATATTGATCGTGGATATCCAAGTATGGTTTTCCTAGAATCTTTGCCAAGTCGTTGATCTCATCGACCAAAATCCGAGGTGGAAGTGCGGAAGTGCGGAAGTGCGGGCTGTCTGAGCCACAAGCAATGGTCTTTGCCTTGATCCAAAATCAACCTAAGAGATGTTATCTGGTGTCTAATAACGCGGGTAAGCTCCAAATTGATAGACAGTCATTATATGCTCATGTCTTTTGCGGTATCTGAGGATATCGTCGCACCTTGGAATGATGATTCCCGAAGTCATGACCGTCACTCTGCTTTCCAAGGCTCTTATCTTCTGATAAGCCGTAGAATACAGAGGGACCGTGGACAGTTTAGCCATCCATGGATGCCAGGACAGATTACACAAGTCGACGTATATAAAGGGGAGACGGTAGCTTAGACAACACAATTTCATGAGCCTGTAGAGCGCACTCGATTCGTATCTAAGAATGTCGGTTTTCCATCTCAAGGGTCGTTCACTTCATGTTGCGCTTCATGTTGCTGCGGGTCTCAATTTTATCCTTTTTGGTTATGACCAGGGGCTTTTGGGTGGAGTCATCAATACTCCTCAATTCATCGAAGCATATGGCCATCAACCAACAGACACCATAATCGGCACCGTATCGTCTATTTACAGCATCGGCGCCTTTTTCGGCGCCGTTTTAGCCGCTTGTTTCGGCCTCCGGACAGGCCGTCGAATTATGCTGATATTGTCCTGCTTTTGCGTGATCTCTGGTAAAGTCCCTTTCTTTCGATCATCGCTGATTACATTGAAAGCCGATGCTGATTGATTTCAGGTGCTGCAATCCAAGCTGCATCTCCCAGTCTGGGAGTAATGATTCCAGGGCGAATCATCACTGGTTTCGGCGTGGGAATCAGTACTTCAACTGTACCCATATGGATTTCAGAGACATCGAACCCAAATCATCGAGGTCGGATGGTGGCAGCTCAGCTTGAGATAGTTCTCACTGGATTCATGTTCTCGTATTGGTTCGACTATGCCATGAGTCATGTTTCTTCTGAGGCATCATTCCGTCTTCCAATGGCATTCCAGGCTATATTTCCGTTGATGGCGCTTTTGATTCTCTTCATCCTGCCGGAGAGTCCACGAGTTCTTTTTTCCTGGGGAAAGTTTGACGAAGATGTCACCGTTCTTGGGAGACTGGTGATTTACATTTCAGTTCAATCATAACTACCGCTTGCTGACCATTGATCGAAATAGCATGATCTTCCTGTGACCGACCCTTGCATCGTATCAGAGAAAGAGCAGATCCTCCACTCCATCGAAGTCGAATCAGAGATAAGCGGCTCGATCTTGAGAACTCTTTTTTGGGACAAGTCTGATATCAAATACCGCCGCTGTGCCATAACCACATTGGTACTGTTCCTCTTGCAGCAATTTGGAGGATGTACATTTATCGGTGTAAGTGATTCAATGACTATCTGAGAAAAAAAAGCCGATCATTAATAGAACTAGTACTACGCACCCATCATCTTCCAAACATCCATCGGCATGTCCACTGAGCTGAGCTCTATCATGTCCTGTGCTATGGCCACAAGCTATGCCGTCGGTGGAATATTCCCAGTGCTTATGATAGATCGCATCGGCCGCCGCAAGATGATGCTCGGGGGCGCAGTTGCCACGTCTGCCGCCTTCATTGCACTGACTGCACTCTGCTCCCAGGCATCAAATTCTACAGCTGTAGGATGGGGTGCTGCAATTATGGTTATTGTTTTCATTCTCATATTCGCCATGACATGGAATGCGCTACCGTGGGTCTACGCTAGTGAATTGATGCCTTTGAACATGCGTCATATCAACGGGGCAATCGGAGCTGGAAGTGAATTCATTTTCCAATTTACTGTTCTCGGTGAGTCCCGAGGTCCCTGTTCTACTTCAATTCGCCCTGTCTCTTGCAGGGTTATACTTGGTATATCTAACTTTCTTTCCGCAGAAATGGCACCGCATGCGATTGCCTCCTCGGGATGGAAAATATATATTTTTTTCGCCGTTTTCAATATTCTCATGTTTCCTTTCGTATATTTCTTCTGTCCAGAGACAGCCAAAAAGTCCTTGGAAGAGATAGACTTTATTTACTTGGGCTCTCCTATGGAAGGCCTAGAAAGTGGACAGGAAGGGCCCGCGATAGTCGAGCAGCCTATTGCGACAAAGGGTGAGAACTAGAAAAAGCAAACCCATTTCAAGGTTGATTAGCCGACTGAGATCCAGATTGAGAATTCCCGCAAATTTATACCACCTGGCAGTACCTGGGCATGCGCTGCCTATCAAAGCACGCGATCGTACCTAGTACATGTAAGCTCGATCTCGAGCCCTGGAGGTCCTACCTACCTAGGTATCTAATACCTGGACACCTTTCTACATCGACCGGTAAGAGCTAGAGAATTTTTCCTGACCTAATGTTGCATTTCAAGGGAGCTCATCTATATGTTCCGCTTGCCGATCTAAAGGTATCTACGGCTACTTGTTCCAAGATTGGTTTCAAGGTTTTAGCAGAGGCCAGACTCCAGTGCTTATTTTGATTGTTTGTAACACTACTTCAAGGTTTCCAAGTTTCGTTCGCAGCATTCAGATGTCTTCCAGGGTTAAAAATACCTAGGTATCTGTGTTCCTAGTATTTCTCTAAATACCTGTCTCCCAAATTCGACGAGACTTTTCAAAAATGTAACAAATCATAATTCAGGCCACCAAAGCTATATGTACATTTTCAGTACCCCCGACAAAGGGTGCTGTTGTTTCCCTCGGTCCAGGCTTCACTGCCTACGCATTGGTGGCACCATAGAAGGCTGTCCGGATCATACTTTTGCTTGATGGCTTGAAGCCGGGGGTAATTTGGTCCCCAGAAGGACCACTGCCAGTTCGGTTCATTTCGGTTTGCCTGTGAATGTTAGATATTACACAAAAGAAACAAAAGAAAGCGCTGTGTGGCTCATTCATACCTCATTAAGATAGGCACCGGTGTCAGGTGCTGACTGTCGCAATGCGTATCCTCTCTTAAAAGTCATATCATGGATGGCTTTCTCCCTTATCTCATGTGGAACTGTATCATCCCAACTCTGGGTTGAGATTACATGAACAACAGAGTCGCGCCATGATGGGTTCAAAGAGTTGTCCACGGGAGCTCTGCTCGCTGTCATGGTGCCGGATATGGATGGGATGGACACTCCTTTCTGCGCGATATATTAGAATGACACTCGGGGTTTTTGATAAAGACTATACTTACCCCTGTTAGAGAATCTGGCTCTGAAATTGCCTCCAGAGCCTTAGCGAGAGACTGTGTATCTTGGACTGTTTGTCTGGAAAGGAATCGCGATGTGCGAGCGCTGTGTGTTTTACCTGTGCTTCCATATAGCGGAATGTCCTTCACAAGATCATACCAAGTTGGCGCCCATTGGGAAGTAAATTGTGAGCTCACTGTTGAATTTGCTGATTTCAACATTTTCCGCAATGGCATTAAAAGGCCATCATTCGTTTGATTTCCCGCATTATACTGCAACAAGGCAACGCTGAATGCGGAGCGTGACAACGTATAATACCCATGAACTCCAATGTCCTGTAAACGGGGGAACTCGCCATGCATCTTTGCAACTAGACTGTACCATTCCTTGGAGGATATTCCACTCCGAGGTGAAACATTGACACCGATCAGGGTAGTCGAAGGCATTTTGAACGCCTTAACAGTAACACTGATAATGATACCAAATGTGCTGCCGCCTCCCCCGCGAACAGCCCAGAATAGATCTTCGTTTTGGCAACTGTTGGCTTTCAAAACATCGCCATTTGGTGTCACAATGATCGCCTCGATGATGTTGTCGGCTCCCATTCCGTATATGCCAGTCGCAAGGCCGTGGCCACCACCGGTAGCCCACCCGACCACTCCAACATCCTATAAGAGTCAACCAGATACTCAGTGTAGTAGAAAAGTTCACCTACATTGTTTTGTCCGCCCACAGCAAGGGAATCATGTTTGGCCATCGCTGTAAACAACTCACCATCTTGCACTCCAGCACCCAAGGTAGCTGCCCTGTGTGTGGAGTTGCTTGAACAACTCTTCGGTGCAAACGACTCGTGGTATTGAATATCCTTCATATTGTGCGTCCAGATACTGCTTCCGTCAGTATTGTTTTCCTTGTATAATTTCCCGTGTCAAAGTCCAGGGAGATAAGAATGTGCTACTCACGAGAGGCTTCCAGGGTTGATACTGTGTTCAAGAGTTCATCAATTAGCTTCAGTCTTGCTGATGGCCTTGCAACCGAAATGTAAATCTCACCTTCGTTCTCCGCTGTGTCCGGTGTTCTTGACATTCAATCGCAAGTTCCACTTTTTGGCAAAATGAACAGCGGCTTGAACATCCTCGGCACCAGTCGCGTTGACCACGTACGGAGGATATTTCCCGAGTGAGCATCCATTCTTTCCCGCATTTTTATCACCAGACAAAGTGGTGCCATTAGGAAAGATAGGAGCACAGGCGTTGTCGAAGGATGGATCTCCAACGCTCACGGGATTTCCCGAATGGAACGGCCAAGTGGTCCAGTTTGAACGAACGGTTTCACACAGGTCAGGATTGAAGTTTGGATCACCACGGTAGCAGACTGATGCTACAGGAGTCGTCTTGATAAGACGACCCGAGATCGTTTCGTTCAACGAGGACCATTCAGAGGTTGAGGGCCAGCATGGCATAGAAGGGGCCTTTGTTCGTGTAAGAATATAGTAAGATGGGAGATTTCACAGGCACTTACACATTTGCAGTCTGATAGAGCATTGACTCCACTGCCTAGTAAATATACCGAAGCCAGGAACTGAAGTCTCATGATGAACACAAAGATATCTTGATTGATTTCCCTTTCAATCCAGGTTGCAGGTTGGTCGCTCTTATAAGTCATGACCTACGTCATTTCTTCACTTCCCCAAGAATAGTCACTCATAGTTCTCAATAAAAGATACCCACACACTTCTGCCAAGATTGCTCAATTGAGGCTTCTTCTCGTATTCGTGAAGAAGATCTTCAGGGAAGTTGACTCCAAGTGGAGACAACTGTAAACCTCATACCCGTGGACCCTCGTTTTCCACGGGCGTACCACGGGTGGTTTCACAATACATAGGAATGATACCGGTTTTGTAATTGAAGTTTTTGCAAAACAGCTCTGCCTGCAAGCCCAAGGCTTGGCACCTAAGCCCCACCCGGTGACCCACCTGCGGACGCTAATACCAGTTAGACTGCTGCACTCCTTACTTCGTACCTCCTCTGTAGTGCCTAGCGGATCAAGAAAGCGCCAGACAAATACCGACGGGGGTACGGCGTAGACTCGCCTGAGGCGTGGTGGCGTTTGTAATTTCTTTAATTGTTTGGTCGAGAAACAATAGAATATCATCTCGGGCCATAAGGACTTGGCCACACCATGGGACCTCGAGATTTCATCGACACCGGGTGATTACCTAGGAGTTCGAATGGTATCACTCGACTATGGGAAAGTGTCCGGAGTACTCCGTAGGTACGGAGTACGGGTATACGGGTTATCCTGGGAAGAATGCGAATCCATGGTGGGAGTGGAGCGGAAATGCGGGAATGCCATCTACTCCCAAGGCTCTTGGGGGACCGGCCCAGCCGGATCGAGTTCACGGACTCGGCAACTTTTTTTTGACATTCCAAGACAACCTTCCAAGGTCCACGGGTTGGATGCCATGGAAAAGCATTATGAAGCCGGAGTCTTAGTAAGTTTGCTCCGTACCTAGGTAGAATGTCTCCGGACTTGGTAATCATGTCAAATGAATACGATCGCTTCCATCATTATGCACTCAATTCCATATCCCATGGGATATAAAATTTAGTCCGAATTCTTGGGTGCAAAATTTCGATCCTTGTCATCAGAGAACAACCGTTATCTTTGTACCTTTCCTCCCTACCATATCTGTCAATCCCAACTGGTGATCTATCACAATGCCCAAAGCATACGTCCCCGTCCAAGTTGGTGCCATGAACCTGGCCCAGCGTATTGTCATGGCTCCAATGACGCGATTTCGGGCCGACGATGCTCATGTCCCTCTCCCGATCGTGACAAAGTATTACGCGCAGCGTGCCTCAGTCCCAGGAAGTCTCATTGTCACGGAGGCCACCTTCATCTCAGCTGCTGCTGGCGGGTACGACAACGTGCCCGGAATTTTCAATGATGAACAAATCAAGATGTGGCGTCATATGACCGATGCCGTTCACGCAAAGAGATCCTTCATCGTCCTGCAACTCTGGGCCTTGGGCCGAGCCGCCGATCGCGACGTGTTAGCGCGAGATGGGCACCAAGTGGTGTCCTCTAGCGCAGTCCCAATCTCGGAGGAAAGCCCTACTCCAAAGCCTCTCAGCGAAGTTGAAATCCAGCAATACATTCAAACCTATGCACAGGCCGCCAAGAATGCGATTGAGGCTGGGTTTGACGCGGTCGAAATCCACGGCGCCAACGGATATCTGGTTGATCAATTCCTCCAGGATACCTGCAACAAGCGCACCGATTAATGGGGTGGGAATGTCGAGAACCGATCTCGCTTTGCTCTCGCGGTCACCAAAGCGGTTGCAGACGCCATTGGACCGGAACGCACGGGGATTCGATTGAGCCCTTGGAGCCGCTTCCAGGCAATGCGCATGGACGACCCAGTTCCTCAGTTCACACATCTTGCGCGTGAGCTTTCCAAGCTCAAAATAGCATATGTCCATTTGGTGGAGTCCCGTGTTTCAGGTGCGGGTGATAGTGCCGGTGCGGATCAGCTGATTTCTTTTTGTCGGCGTATCAGAAGGCTAGCCCGGCAATAGTGGCCGGTGGGTATTCCGCCAAAGGTATCGACGAGGCTCTCGAGGTCACCTATGGGGAATATGATGTGCTCGTTGCCATCGGTCGTTATTTTACCTCCAATCCCGACCTGATATATCGCGTCAAGAAGGGGATTCCTTTGTGTCCTTATGAGCGCGACCACCTCTACACTGCGAAGAGTCCGAGGGGCTTCATCGACTATCCTTTCTCGGCAGAATGGGAATGCTCGGAGGCTGAGGCAGAGCTGGCGGAAAAGGATCACGTTCAATCTTGATTGGATTGGTAGGCCAAATTCAGATAGAGAGCAAGAGAGGAAGAGAGGAGGAGAGGAAGAAAGGAGGAATGTTGGGATCAAGCTCTCCAAATGGTTTTGACTTGAGGTCGGACTCGGGAATAAATTCAACTGAATTTCTTGTATCATTACACACTTCGTGCATTGGCCCCGAAAAGTGAGATGAACGTATGAATTTCACCAACTGCTGCTGACTTCATTCGATACGTCTGCCCAGGTGCCCAGGTGACTGGTTCCTGCTAGTAAATTCGCACGCTTCCTCGAAGAGTAAACTTTATCTATAACGGTACTTTCTGAATGGCACATGTACAGTGTATGAGGCTAAAATCGATCCAAAAATAGCCTTGTGCCATAGTCTTTTAATAGAATTACGAAACTTCAAAAGACAGGTAAGGAATATTTCAGTCCTGCTTGAAATTGCAGTACACAAAATTTTCGGATGTTTCGATGTATCTTGACTTTGCCTGCCTTGGCTATCATGTATTGCAAGGCCGCTAGTCTTTTCTCATTTCAACCCCACAACAAAAGAACTGCAGGGACTTTTGCCCTCCGACCACCTGGCCTTGTCACGCATCCCTTCCATTCAACGGGATGTAAGCCTCTTCATCGCCGGTCAAATTTCCACTTTTGAGTCTAGCGACGGCCATGATCAGACTTCCAGGGTGGACGATTGAAAGACAAACAGCGACCAAAAACAACAAAGTTGCATCGAAAATATACATCAGTACCTCTCCGGTGACCATAATTGTTCCTGCGCCAGCCGCAAACTCAATGAATCGGTACAAGCTTCGTATGAAAACAAGCCCGCTCACACAGTACAGAGCCCACATGTGTCGTCTCCAATCCACTGGTAGCTTTGCGGAGATAGCGCTGGGGCTTTTGTGAAGCCGAGAGTGGAACAATGCACTCATAAGGATAAAGCACAAAAACGCAAGTAGTTGGAATGCAAGGCCACCAAGGACCAGATGAATTCCTTTTTCCATTCCGTCGGCATCTCCACTCGCCTGCGCAGCGGATCCCATGATTTGACAGACAAAACTAATGATGTCGATGGCAACATATATTTTTGTCAGCCACTTGGTTCGGATAATCGCGTGGTGTTCACCGTCAAGCGCACGAATGAAGCGACCAAGCGTCATGTAAATACTAGCAGCCAGCAATGGGGCTGACCCAAGAATAAGCATCATCTGTATCAAGTACGGAGTCCCCTCTCGGATATTCTCATGGGACCATGCGCGGCCGTAGTAGCCAAACAACTCGCCTGTGATGTGAGCTTCAGGACCTCGGGAAATTTGATGATAGGCTCTAGCCCGACCAAAGGGGGAACCTACCAATACAACCAAGAACAAACGGAATAAAAAACCATGCTCGCAATCTTATCAAAAGAACGACGTGTACCACTGCCGCAAGTCCAAAGAGGGCGACGAACACCCATCCTGCGGTGGCAGATGGAGTGTACGGATATAAGTCGAAGTCGGCGGTACCGCGAGATAGAAGGGCCGAGGAAGGCATGATGATGTGCGAAAAACGCTGGAGTCAACTGTGAAGCCCTGTAGGACTTCTTGATGTTGAATTATTGGCCAGCTCTCAATGGCGGCAGTGAGACCAACTGAGCGAAGAAGGTATATATGGATATCATGGAAGGTTGTCAATTGCGCAAGCGTGTCTTTTATTTCACGTGTGTTGCACGTAGTAGTAAATCCAATAATAGAGTGGATATTGACCTACTGTAAATCCATTGATCAATTCTTCTCCAGGGATGCTGGGTGCTGATAGACCCGCAACGGACGCTAAAGTACGAAAATTATGCGATTTGCTCAGATCTAGATGCGACCCACATAGCAAGAATTTCAACAGATACGAGTTAACGATAATTATACGATTGGCTGATACTTATTAGACCCACAGCTCTAGTACAGTACATACGCATGGCGATCGTCAACAGTACGCCGTACAGGAGACAACTTTCAATGTTTGCTCCACGTAGCTCGTATGCAAAAAACCAATAGCAGTAACCTTGGAATCCGGGTACAGACCAGTCAGGAAGGTCAACACAGACCCGAAAACCAGAATGACTTTGCCATGTTGTCGCCTAAAAAATACTGATACATACATGGATTAGTACAGAGTGTATACAGTGTGTAATATGTACCTACATAGGTAAGTACCCGTGGACCCCGGGCCTTACCTACATAGGTACTCCGTACTCCGCACAAACATTTCCCCACCGTCACTCAGGCAGAAAGAGAGCGGCTGGGAATTTTTCCTTGATGCCTGAGTTGCTTCATACGAACACGTGAATTGAGATGTTATGAACAAGCACTTGCTTGACAACAGGGTTACTTTGAATAATTTCCGTGACATGGAAGACCCTTCCAGTTGTTTTCCCGAAATGCTGCCCAGGTGTTGACCGTTCGGAAAAGGTCGGTGGATATCCTTGTTTCAAAAGCGCCTATTAGTAATTTTTAACATCGAATACTGTACTAAGATGTATTTCAACAGCTATTGCAGGTCCACCAAGGAATGAAAAGAACCCCTTTGCATCAAGTAACCTTGGTGATTTCCTCATGGGGATAAAGCAGACCAATCGATATCGGCTGCTTCCATAGGCCAGCGCATCCAGCTTTGATAGTTGCTTTCCAATGAGTTGTATATGCCATTCAAAATGTGTTTTCCCCAACCACGAAGAAACCAACAACCCAATGAATCATAAGTGCTCAGGAGCACACTGAAGTTTGCTACTATCAGCAGCGCATGCGGGTTCCTTCGTTGAACTCGGTCAATAAAGTCCTCCTCCATAAGGTACAACCATTGAAAAATCATTTGATGGACTTTGTTGCCATTGTATGATCCGTTCTCGTCGTCACCGTAGGTTGCTTCGTAGTGTCGTTTCAGTCTGGTCAGAGCAACCAGGTAAATCTCAACACAAGTCGCAGGCGCAGTTGAGGCAACAAATGCCGTGAATTCTCGAAAATGGGTTTCCCAATTTACTCTTTTTGTGTTCCCTGAATTCACAACTGGCCCGTCAGCCTTGGGAAACTGTACCCCCGAATTTGGTGATGCGGCAGTATTGGAAGAACTATCTGAGTGTCCCAGCTCCCTGATATGGCGAACGCCACGCAAGAGGGGGAACCAGATCAAAGGCACATCGTCACTAAACAGCAAGTAGTCACCTGGACTAGGACCCCTGGCAAAGACGTACCAGCAAACAAGAAGCGAGGAAATATAGAGAGCCTGGGAACTTTTTTCGTCCAAATGGGCCAAGGATTGTCTGAGCTTCGGTAGGGCGGCGGAGAATTGATTCTCGGCGAAATTAGCATAGTGCGTCTTTTTGCTTTTTTCTGAGGTCAGAAATTGAAGATGGCGGCTTGACAATGCCATGATCAAGTGCATGATGAACGGCTGCTCATTGGCCATTTGCGGAAGTTCAACACGGAACATTTCAGTGGCAGAGGGGTCACTTGACAGGCTCTTGCATGTTGAAATAGAGTAGTGATGGAAAATCTGAAGATGCTCCATGTTGATGGAGCTATCGTCAGCCTTTATGTGGGCGGTGGAGTCGTGGTCTGGGGGTGGCAAAGCTCCCGAGGAGAGAAGCCCAGCTGTGGAGCTCAGGTGTTTGCGAGGTCTTCCAGGCAGCTTCTTGCTTTGTAATGTCATCGGTGATGACCCTAATGCTTGACCATATACGTTGAAAGACGTGAATTCAATCCCATTTGACGGCGCATTTGGGTATTGGCAGGAAACCGAGAACCGATTGCAATTTTGACAACTCGGTTTATGTTCATCACACTAGTAGTTACATTAGTGCCGCTAGATCATAAACAACCAACAAGATATATTGCCAGGTCGATAATTTGTCTCTCCTTTGGAAGTCGCTGGCATTCGGCGGAGGGACACATAAGCACATATGCATCATGGACTGCTTACCTTAATCCGTCTACTTTTACAAACGAGGCACCCATTTCGTGACTTGGTATGTGATCTGCGGCCCCTGGGCGGAATCGGTCCCCGGCTAGCAAAGTTCGACATAGGCGTTGAGGGTTTCTTTTTTGTCAAAGAGTCTGATTCGAATGTAGTGGCTGATTCGTGGGCACACGAGCAGATGTAAGAGGAATGGAGTGGAAATACGAAAATCAGGCGACTGGCGTCATTTGGGTGAGCTGGCGGATTCCGGGAAATGATCGGCGAGAGATCGGCGAATAGCCGGGGCCGTTCGAGCAGTCGTTTTCGAGAACAGAAAGAGTAGAAAAAAGAGAGAAAGAGGAAAGAAAAGTGAAAGTGAAAGATATACGGAGTACAAACACATACACATACACACACTGTATTGGTACAGTGTATTCGGAAATCAGGGTCAGGTGATTTTTGAGAGCAAGAGGTCACGTGATCCTTTCCTGTTTCCAGCCTTGGAAGTTTGCACACTCCGTACAGTCCATAGATCTAGCCCCCTCTATCTGCTTTCAGCGAGCCTTCTCACGCGAGTTTCTTCATACCATAGGGTCTTATACGTAGATCCTTCTCATTGTCGAATGTAGGAATCTTGGATGTTCCCCTCCAAATAGACTTCCGCAGCGGCCCACAAAGCCCAGAGCCCAACCCAGCCCAGCCCACTATGTAATGGGTTGGGTTTCGGGCCGGGACCTCGGGCCCATTGATGGGCTCTGGGCTCAGGGGGCCCATTGGGCCTCAAACATTACAAACATGCCAAGAATTGGTCTTTTCACAAATAATGCAGATCTTAGCAGTATCCTCAAGTATGAAAGTACTACACTTTTGGACTAATAACCTCAATGTATCTTTAAAAAAAGGCGTTTATAGAAGGGATAATGATAGGAAAGAAAGCGAGAAAGAGATAGATATAAATTTAAAAGCTTTAGACCACAGTAATATCTAAGTAGATGAGTTCGCGAGGCTCTTCTGATTATAGTGCGAATATATGTATTTGCACTATAGTCGATTGTAAGATTACAAGGTAGAACAATCGTACATAAAACCTATTAATCTGCAGAATTATGTATGCCAAGACCATGTTTATGCATAGAAATGAGTTTTTTTGGGCTTTTCTGGGGGCCCATTGGGGGCCCATTAGTGGGCTCTGGGCTGGGTTGGGCTCTGGGCCGGGACCTCGGGTCCAATCCGGCCCATTGCGGAAGTCTACCTCCAAAGTTCAAGTTCTTGATCTATGGCCGATTCCCCCATTGTGCCCAGGTGGTCTCGTGGCCTACAGAGTACTACTCATGGAGCAATGCCAGAGAGAAATGGGAGAGAAGGGGGTAAATCTACAATCAAAGATCCACAAGCACAAAATTGATATCATATGGATCACTTCCAACCATGTCGCGACCCGCGACTTAGGCGTAACAACCAAAAGAACAGATAATCTCTCTTCAAACTCTTTACAAGGCTCTCAAATATACTCCGCCAGCTCCCCTCGCGTGTTTCCATAAATCAAATCTGGGATTTTCCAGACATGCCCTTCGATCTTCACGTGTGTCAATCTGGCTATTCGGCATGATGATTCGCCCCGACTTTGGCTTGCTCAGCATTTTCCTCAATTTGAGCGATTGGGGTGAAACGGTAGAGCATATTTTGAGGTAAGACGTGGTCGGTGGGCCTTTGGTAAACAACGTGCTCCTTGCGCCGAGTGTCGACCAGCAGTTGGAAAAGATCAGGGCGGCTGTAATGTCCCACAGGATCGGCAACGCTCTTCGCAAACCCAATCTCTTCCATGTCCAAATCGGCGTAGAGTATTCCTTCCCAGTCGGGCGCCACATCAGGTGTAAGTTTACGTCCGTCGGGCCCGTAGATAGCAGTGAAGCCACCGCCAGTCTGGCTCATGTGTGAGCTACTTTCTTCGCCACTGTCGAACAAGTCAAGGCTTTTCTGGGTGCAGGTTTGAGTGGCAACGATAACGAATGCCTGTGACTCCATGGCGTAGAGCCGATTAGCAATGATTGCCGCCTTTTCGATCCGTTAGTCGAGACTCATGCGTAAAATAATAGGACAGACACACATCAGTACAAAAAGACCAAGGCTCCCATCCGCCGTATTTATGGTTAGTCGGCCAGGCAGCAATGTGGATGTGCTCGTGTTGACTGTAGGTGTGGTATTTCAGCAGAGGCTGCAGATGCTCCCAACATTGCAATCCACCGATGTTGCCCAGGCGAGTCGGCGCTACGTTTCGAATTGAGTCTCCTGGAACACACCGTGAGCGTGGCAATGAGGATGAGTCCCAGGATTACATACCACTGCCCTCCCCGAAGAGGGTTCTCTCCACGTGAGTAGGCTTGGTCTTATGCCGATGTAGCAGAACAGCGCCTGTGGAGTCTAGGAGTGTCTGAGCCATGTACAAAGTGCCCTGGATCTTCTCCACGAATCCAAACATAATATGGATCTTGTTGTCTGCGCAAGCTTGCTGGATTCGCTTAAACTCGGGAGAGTCGATCTCCATACTGCTTTGATAGTATCTCTTGCACAGCGAAGTCTGTCGTACATTAGCAACGACTGCGAATAACCATCTGGCAGAATGCTTACATTTTGCTTGTAGCCATAACTCCAGAGGAATCCCGGGTAGCCGGGAATCCAGCATTCAGAGAACGCGATTAGCTCTGCACCATTTTCGGCGGCTTCTTTAATCAGCTCTACTGATTTCCGAATACCCCCTTCAAGGTCTAGCCATGCCGGCTCGACTTGAGGAACGGCAACCTTGAAAACTCCTTTGGGGACGGGCATCTCTGCTGTAGAGCACTCGTTTTGATCTGGACCGTGTTGGGCTTGTCGAATTCTCTATACTCATGCACCTGTATTTATACATACTTATATCTATGAAATGATTCAGGAAAATATGTCGGGTATCAAAACGAGCGTGCGGACGTGCGGAAGTGCGGATCATACAGCAGCAACCAATTATAGCTGGCTGAAGTACCTAGCCTCTAGGGACCGTCTTGCACCTCACCATCCCCCTCGCGAAATATGCTGCTTCATGGAACCTTGATCATATATTTAGGGTCTCTTTGGCAAACCCTGCTGTTTCTCCTGCCCGTCGCATCCATGGATGGTAGGTAGTAGGAACCTAGGTACAGAGTACTAGGAGGTGATTTGACGCAGCAAAACTGCTGGCGCACCGCCCATGGTCGTCAACTTGCGTTTTCTGAGTTTCATGCCTAGTAAACCAATACGTTCCTGAGATCATGGCATATGCAGCCGTACACATGAATACATTCAACTTAGAATGCACCTGTCGACTTCATGGTAGCCATACGATTTGCCCGAGCACGCTGAACTAGAGGAAAGATGAATTGCTCTAAACCAGATTAAACCAATCAGAGGATTGTCTGGTGGCAATGAAGAACATACAGATAACATAAAGGTGCTCCAGGGCTTCAGCCATTGATTACCTAGTACCTAGTAGGTTGCTGGTCCGCCGAGTCCGAGGTCGTTTCATTCACAGGAATCGTTAATGGTCAATAGAGCTAGGCTCAGCTAGCTACAAAAAGAGCGTAAGATATGTAGAGCGTAAGAATCTAATTATTTTGCTTTAGAAACCCAACACCCCAGGTTCCCCGGACATTGACCTGTATGAGCCAGATCAACGTCGTCGCTGGCTTCCACTGATATCAGCCAGAAATGACCACGGTGAGATGGCCAGGTAGGTCAGACGCCGAGGTTTTTTGCTGGTGAGTTGTGATGCACCTCATTCTTCCTCTTTTTTGGGCACAGTTTCTGTCTCCTCGGATTTGAGCTCGACTTTTTTCTTCTCTTGTTGCTCTGACTGCTTGCCTTGCGCTTTTCTCTTGGTTCTATCTCTGCGCTTGCGTCCCCCCAAACGCCGTTCGATTATTCTCCTAATTCCAGACTTGATTTCTCGCTTTGGCTGTGACTTTGGCTTTGTTCTTTTCAGTTTCTTTTCCTCTGGAATTTCCGCTATAGGCTTGGTCTCCCGTTGTTTTTCTTTCCGCTCTTCGGGGATAGCGTCCAGAGAGATTTTGAGTTTGTCTTCTGATTTGACCGAGATTTCTGGAGATTGCTTCATCTGCAAGCCACCCAGGCCGACCTGAGCTCTGTTTTTGATCTCTATTTCCTCAGTCTTCAATGTCTGAGCCGGCTCAGTAGGGAGAGACCCCGACGAGTCACAGTTGACAGGATCATATTGCGCAATTTCCGAGAGTCTTTTCTTGTCTGTATCTGTGGCTGGGCTCTTAAGCCTTTCCATCCGCTTTTGTCGCTTTGTATTGAGCCTGTGCTTGTTATTCAGGCGGTATGCTCGATGGTATGCTCTGACGTTTCCCTTGTTCTTTTGCCGAGACAATTGCCATTTCTCTCTCTTCTTTCGCGTGATTAGGCTGGCTATTGACAGAGGACTGCTTTCCTGAGAGCCACTCGGATCGAATTGGTATTGGGGCTCAATCTCTTCCGTCTTTGAAGCAGATAGCGACTGAATTGGAGGATTGATGCTGTCTCTGATCTTCTGGCGATACTCTCGTCTTCGTTCTCGGATCTTTTCTCTGTTCTTCTGGCGATACTCTCGCTGATACTCTCGTATCCGTTCTCGGGTCTTGTGCTGATACTCTCGCATTCGTTCTCGGATCTTTTCTCTGTTCTTCTGCTGATACTCTCGCATATACTCTTGCTTTCGTTTTCGGACCTTTTCTCTGTGGCGATACTCTCGCTGATAGTCTCGTCTTCGTTCTCGGATCTTTTCTCTGTTCTTCTGCTGATACTTTCGCTGATACTCTCGTTGTTGTTTTTGGATCTTTTCTCTGTTCTTCTGATAGTACTTTTGTTTATACTCTCGTTGTTGTTTTCGGATCTTCTCTCTGTTCTTCTGGTAATATTCTTGCGATCGGGTTTGGGTCCCATTTTGGTCAGTGACTCTCTGGGGACCGATTAGATCACTCTGAGCTGTGTGCTTGGTTTCTTCGATCCCCGAATCCGAGAGCGGACCAGCAACTAGAGAGGGAAATTCGTCTTTGGTTGACTGGAGCGAATCATTGACTTTGTCTCTCTTTTTCCGAGCGTTTTCTCGATTCTTTGCATTGAGTCTGTCTTTGTTTTTCAGGCGCCACTTCCGACTGGACTCGTTTCTCTTTCGTTTCCTGATTTGGTCGGGAGTTTCCAATGGCTCAGTCTGGGAATCATTTCCCTGGGAGCCACTCAGGCTAGGCGGAGCAGTGTTCTCAACTTTCTCAATCTTGAGAGGCGAAAGCGGTTTAGTGAGAGGTGGACTTTCACTCTTGATCGGTTGGAGGCCAGCATTTTCATTCTTTGTGGTGGGTAGGGAATCAGGATCTTGCTTCTTAGTCTCGATTGAAGCCTTGTCTATGGCATTAATATAGTTATCAGTATCTGCGGTATGACATGTTGTAATTGGCCTGGGACAATGTTGCAAGCTCACCTGGCTCATCTTCGATTTTGGTGGTGTCACTGGGGACATGTGTACCCTTGTCTTTCATTGAAAGCTTCGACAGTTTCTCCATGGAATGGGAAATCGTCTGCATATGTGTGTCAGGTTCTTGCTTCATTGTCTTCAAAGCCTCTGTTAGCTCCGCTATCTGGTCATCTTCTTTTTTAGGCTCCATGATGAATCAGATTGGGCTTGATGGATATGAAGATGGATGGCGGATGAAGTGTGAAGCGTGGATGATTGGAGCACAGGGTATGATTGCTTCCTTTTATACCTGGGCGGGCTTGTGCAATCGTTCCACCAGATTGCTGTGTAGTGATTGCACACCATGTGCAGTATTGGGTGTCTATTCAATTGGAGGTCTGGTTTGCCTTTCAGTAGCTTGGCTTTCATACCTACTGAAGCATATAGCCGTGGTTTTTGCAAGATTCTCGCGACCATGCCTGTTGGTAGCTTCATAGCTTGTATACCTCAATCTCAGCCGTGATTTGTTTCAACTTCTCTCACTCATCGATATGACTGGAAGACACAAATCCACGCTCATGATTCTTCTCTTTTTCTTCTCTTTTCTCGAATTCTTTTTTTCATTTTCAATATTCAAAGTAATCAGAATGGGTATCTTTCGCTTTAAAACGCCAGATCTCGGCCCCTCCCCTCCTTCGACAATGGCCCGTTGCACGCCCTTCACACATACATAAAATAAGCATCCACAAGTCGATCATACTTGCATCATTAGGTCAAATCAACCACACCTTCCATCACGCCATCATCCACACCACTGTTCACATCGTTATCCAGACCAATATGCTCACCATCGATCCTCGCTGCATCAACCTGGGGCGAAGCCACTAACTGCGCACTCACTTGGGCAGCTACTGCTTTTCTGCGCTCGAGGTTCTGATTGCTGGTGATGCATGTTTGCAGGTACCGTCGGGCGATAGCGACCAAGCGGGGGTCCTCTGTGCTCAGATCTAGGGCTTGAAGCATTTGCTGAACGTGCGCCGTCGATTGCAGGTGGGGGCACGACCGTCGGTATCCGTAGTGGGCCAGTCCGCATAGAGGGCACAGTTCGGGCCCTGCAAGTCGAAGGGGGCAGCTTCCGGCTACGTGGTTCTGCTGGCAGGCTTGGCATGGTTGCAAAAGGTCGTTGGCGCCATCAAGGTCACCCTGGGGGGAAAGGGGAAGTGGCAACTCAACGCGACGGAAGCGGCGTGTAGCTGTAGAATAGAGCATGTCAGTAGGTTGTATTTCAAGACGCCACAGAGTAGACCGCAGTAAGTCAAGGTATGCAGAAGAGAAGAGTTGTATCTGAAAAGAACATTTTCTTACCTAGCTGACTTTCATCCACCTCTGGCGCGAGGAAGTTGCGCGCATCCATAACGTTGAGATAATCTTGCTTTCCAGTGGTGTCAAGGTCCGATTGATCTCTCGTGAATTCGCTTTCATTGTCCGACTCGCTTTGGGCGGCCTCGCCATCAGGTTCTTGGTAGTCTTGGTCGGGCACGATCTTGCGCATCTTGGCCATGGGTGATGCTGTGGGGCTGAGTTCAGGGTCGTCGTCGTCACCCATTTTAGTGTTGTAGCTGATAGTGGGGCGCTTGCGTTTTCCACGGCCAAGACCTTCGTCCTGGCGGCTAAGGTGCTCTTTTGCTTCACGCTCACGTTCGTCCAAGATTTTTTGCCATGCCGAGATATCCACTGGTGCCTCTTCTGTTTCGACCACTTCTTCGAGGCTGTCGCGATCCATCTGCCAAACACGAGCGAAGTTGAATTGGTTTTGGTTATTGGAGTTCGAGTCGTCACCGTTCGTGATGACCTCTGCTTGCTCCGCCTGACTTCGGTCTAGCAGCTTTTCAATCGCCGGAATATCGTACTTGATATCCGCAGAATCGTCATCGTTGAATAGGGCTTGCGCACCATGCTGGAGAATGGACTCTAGGTCCTCCTCATCCTCGTCTGCTTCCATCCGATCAATGAGGACGTGGTCCAGAGCCAGTTTGGTCTTTCCCTTCTGCATGATCTTTTCCTCGACTGATGCGCGAACAACCAGATGGAATACCAAAACCGTGTTCTTCTGCCCGATACGATGGGCACGCGACAACGCTTGCATGTCTTGCTTCGGGTTGAAGTCCGGGTCCATGATGATAACTGTATCTGCAGTGGCGAGGTTGATTCCCACACCACCCGACCGCGTCGAGAGCAAGAAGGCAAAAACGGGCGAATTGGGCGCGTTGAACTCGTCGATTTGCTTCTGTTTCTCTGCCGACGACAGTTGTCCATCCAAACGGCAAAACTGGAGCCCGACCCCACCCAGGAAATCCTCAACAATATCGAGATTCTCCAAGAATTGGCTGAAAATCAGGACGCGGTGGCCTCTCTGCTGCAGCTGAGGCAACATCAGATTCAAGAGTTGGAGTTTGCCGGAAGCTTCAACCAAACGTTGATGAGCAAGAGCAAGATCGCGTGTCTGTTCCTCAATGTTACGGTTGTAAATGAACGGATGACATAGACACTTTCTCAGCTGAATCAGGATGTTATTCAGATTGTGGCGATCCTTCTTGTTCATCTGTCCCTTGTGCTTTTTCAAAATAGTTTGGATAAGCATGGGATTTTTCTCCAGAATCGATCTGTACAGCTTCTTTTGCACGACAGACATCGAGACCGGGATAATGATCTGCACCATCGGAGGCAAAAATGGCAGAACTTCAGCCTTAGTGCGGCGCAGGAAGCATGGCCGGATCATGTCATGCAGTTCGCGGATTTCCTCCTTTGTGAGGTGCGCATTGCCGTACTGCTCTTCCAGCTTTTCGGCGTCCTTCGTGGGATCAAGGAATTGGATCAAGTTGAACAGTTCACGGATGTTGTTTTGAAGCGGAGTGCCCGTGAGTAGAAGTTTGAATCCAAATTTCATTCGGCGAAGACGACCGTACAACAGAGACTGGTCATTTTTCAGTCGTTGTCCTTCATCAACGATCAGCGCAGCCCAGTGAACTCTGCCAAGGACTCTGGCGGCTGAAGCATCGGACATGCTCTCGTACGATACAATCACCACGTGGCAGCACAATTCGCCGTTATGGAACATTTCATGTTTCTCGACCATTTGTCGAGCCCAGGCACTACCGAAATAGGCGACAACGCGCATCTCTGGCGCCCATTTCTTGATTTCTCGGCGCCAGTTTGGCACTGTCGAGTTGGGAACGACAATCAGGAATGGGAAACACTGGTGATTCTCCATCATGGCCGACAAAAGAGCAATGACCTGAAGAGTCTTTCCTAGACCCATGTCATCTGCTAGAATAGCGTTTCTCCTTTGGAAGTACATGTAGTACATCCAATTCACACCATCCAGCTGATATTCCATCAGCTTTCCTCCGGTCACCATCTTAGGCTGAGATTTGAGAACCAGTTCTTTTTCAAAGTCCTTTTCGCGAGCGGCTTTCAATCGCTCTTGAAGGGCTTTATATTTCGGTGGTTGGATACTTTCCGCGAACACCTTGTCAGCGAGTGCGTTTTTGAAAGCTTCCCATCTAGCAACATCGGTTTGTGCCGGTGGAAACTCCCACAATGTCTCCTCATAAGGCAGTCCTTGGAACTTGACAAAGACACGCTCGACCAACTCTGGGTTGGCGCGTTCCTCCGCAGATTCTGGCTCGCGGGTGTACTCGACATCGAATACGATGTCAATTCGGAGATTTTCTTCCGGAACAGCTTCTTCGATCGTCCAGATTGGTTTGTTGGCTTTGGGCGATTTGAGGAATGTTTGGAACATCGCAGCATGAGCCATGCACCATACCCAGTCCCCAGGCATCCAAACGACATGGAAATAAGACTTTTTGGCCCACTTGACGAGATACTCTTTCTCGATCTCTGGTACCAATTCAACCAGCCCAGGCACGACCTTGACGTCGGTTTTCGGCCGCCACGCAACGATGACCCCGATCGGAAGGATCTCGTCCGGAAGATTGGAGCAATCGGAGCAATGCCAATACTCAGGGCGTATTTCGGAGCGATCTGCTTCAGGAGTCGGCAGAATATGTTCGATGTGGAAAGCGCGCTTGCAGCGGGTACACCGAGTAAGAACATTGTCGATGTTGTTCACGCGAGACATTTCTACTTCTGTTGTCGGGTCTATGCCACCGTTCTCCTCGCGCAGTTGCTGTTCTTCTTGGGCGGTATAAGAATCTCGTAGGGGCGTTGACATGGGCCCTGCTTCTTTGCAGACAGCACAATGGCCCAAGTGAGGCAAGATATCGTGATCTCGGTGTTTGATTCCCAGGCATCTGGAACATTGGAGAATGAAGTTATCAGCTCCAACCTTGGTGACCAAGTGTTTTCGCGCGGCTCGAGTTCCAAGACATTCCCGATGGTATGATGAAGTACAACCTTGGCAGTAAACCAATGTTTCTTCCCTGGAGCTTTCATCCTCCCACCTCTCACAAGAGAAACATTTTGAGGAATGAGCTTCCCTGAAAGGATCGTCTTCTGGCAGCTCAACGAATTGCTCCTTCGCCCCGGAGAACTTCTTCTTTGGGGCCACGACTTCGACCTCTGACATCTCGTCATCTTCCATTCGCTCTTTGAAATTGTATTTGGCGGCTTTTTTCAGGCGAGTTGAGACTCTGGTTCCTCTCTCCGAGGCAAGAGATTCTTCCGATGACTCACGGGTACGTCGTCTTTTGTTCTTCTGGGCGCCTCGCCTGAGATGGCGACGTCTGTTTGGACGAACATCTTCCGAATCAGTGCTAGGGGCAGGGCTTGACTCGATGTTCTCCAGTTCCTCGGAGCTAGAAGAATCCTGAACAACCTTCTCATTGTTGCGAGTTGATCTCGTGCTGAAGAAATGACTGAAGGATGCTCCCGAGATCCCAAGGCGCCGCTGGCGGTTTCTCGCAATACCGATTTGCCGAGTCACGCTATCATCTACATCATCCGCTCCGTCGCCACTGGTGTGGATGAGGTGTGGTTTGGGGTCCAGGTTCATCGATAGAGGGTCAGGGCTCTGTGAGCCATCGAGAAAGTCGCGGAGTACATGTGGGCCGTTCTTCAACTTGAGCAGTTGCTTCGCAGTGAACTAATAAGATTCGCGGTTAGCTAATGTACAGACAGCGGGGTTTTATGCCGGCTCATTGCTCTCACTCACAGTTGTACGTTCGCCGCTCTTCAATCGAACAATGAGCTTTGGCTCATACATGTCAACTGCCAGAATGGATAATGCTTCAAAACGGCCTGGCAGGTAGTCGTAGTCCTCTGGGTTTGCGATTTTTGGGACAATAATCTCGAAGGATGTGTTGACATTGTCGGGGTTCTTGTCAGGCTCTTCGGAGCCGTTGATATTCATGGAAGAGGTTTTCGAGCGTGAAGCACCCTCAGAAGGGTCGAACGATTGCTGTGATATGGCTGCGCCTGGATCTAGATCGACCTGAGCCATATCAGAGACACCGGCATTGTCCTCAAAGTCAGACATGATGACTGTTGATGCAACTGGCAAGTGGGAGGAGCAGCAAAAGCCGGGCTGTGGATGCACCGCTAATGCGGCTCCTGCAGCTGAGGCTCAAATTGGACACGGATCAAGTGGGAAAAATCGAGTTGACGAAGGCTGGATGAATCTCAAATGACGGAATGTTAATGGATTCACCGGGTAAACGACTGATGAAATGGGGGTGTGTAGCTAGGCCCATGAAGGTAGATCAATTGTGAAGTGAGATGTCTCAGAAAGGAGAGTGATGGAGATTTCCATTCACGAGTATGGATACTCGTTTGGGAAAACGCGAAGCTCAACACCGCGCGTGGGCGATAAGACGCGCCGATAACGGAACAACCATAATCCGATGATCAATTTCTCCAGCGATCAAGCAAGAATGTCAATACTCCGGTGGATTTCGAGATGATGCTCAATACTATCTCGAGGACAAATCCTCGTCTTTCAAGGGCACTTATCTCCTACCACTTGTCATCGACAATCCGAAATGCCTCGTTAAACTCAGCCATTGGGCAGGGAATTCGGAGATCTCAGAACTTTGAGCGAGATGATCGTCGAGGCAACAGCTCCCCAAGACGTGAACGACAATACGACAGATCCAACGGTCCAAGCTCTACTAAAACCTTCCGTCCCGATCACGCAGACCGACAATACGGCAAACCCGATGCGTCAAGCTCCAGGCAACCTTTTCGCAATCGCAGCGAATCTCATGGGGAGCGAGACGACAGGCGGGAACGAACCTGGGGAAAACAGTCAGGTGAATTAAGTTCAAAACCGCATAGCCGCCGAGACGAACAATGGCCTGGCAACGACTCTGGGCCCTTCAGACGTGACCGTCCCCAGAGACCCCAAAGGTTCCAATACGACGAGGACGAATTCATTCGCTCTGGTAACTTCCGCGCGCTACCGCAAGAGCATCAATCACGATTCTCACCGAGATCCCAGGATACTCAGTTCTCGCGGCCGGGCAGAGAAAGGCCTCGAAGAGAGGAAGAATCGAAGGAGAAACCATCGAAATCCAGAGCCCATCGGGTTACGGACAGTGTGCCTGAGCGTGTGAAAGAGAACGTCAAGGTTCCCGATACGATTCCTTATACAACCCCAGCATCGGAATTCATCTACGGTACCAGCGCGGTGGAAGCCGCGCTACGCTGCAGTCGCCGTCAATTGTACAAGCTCTACGTTTACCAGGGAGCGGAGGAAGAGCTTAACGCTGCCAAGGTCACAATCCGGAAACTGGCCTTGTCAAAGAACATCACTGTCAAGATGGCGTTTGCTGGATGGGATCGACTGATGGATAAGATGAGTGCCGGGCGGCCCCACAATGGATGCATTCTGGAAGCCTCACCCTTGCCCAAACTGCCCGTGCGTGGATTCCATGCAGTGCCATCTATATCCGAGGACTATTTCCGAGCTGAGCTTGCCCCTCAGTCTCGGGAAGAAGCCGCGGTAAACGGTACGGATGATCGTATCCCGATCCATCACCCATCCCCGCCCTTGCGTGAGGATGAGCCCCATCGCTACCCCGTTGCGTTGCTGCTAGATGGCGTTGTGGATCCGGGGAATATGGGTGCTATCATCCGATCCTCGTACTTCTTGGGAATTGATGCTATTGTTCTCGCTGGCCGCAACTCGGCACCTTTGTCTCCGGTCACTATCAAGGCATCTGCAGGTGCCGCCGAGAATATGCCCATCCTCCACGTGAAGAATGAGATTGATTTCATCGAGCGCTCTCAGGCGAATGGGTGGCGATTCTATGCCGCTGACGCGCCAGGCCCCGACTCGGTATACTTGGACCACATCGCAGCCGAGGGTGAACAGGGCGGAGGCAAACTCCCCATTTCAACCAGCCCTAGCGTTGTGATGATGGGTAGCGAGGGCTCCGGGCTAAGCTCACACATCAAATCACACGCTAATGCAACGGTCAGCATTCCTGGCGCTCGTCACAGCCCAGGTCTGGGCGTTGCATCGGACCCTGCCCGCATTGACAGTCTCAACGTCAGTGTGGCGGCTGCACTATTGATGGAGAAATTCCTTCGAACTCCCCTTGCTATGGCTGAGACGGCTAGCAAGAAGAAGACAAAGAGCAAGTCGGAGAGAAAGTCGGAAAGCAAGTCGGAGAAGATGTGGTGATTGATCTACTGTAATTTACATGTACTCTAGCATTTACATACAACCTGTACAATAGCATAGAATGGAGTTGAAGGGTTTGCATTGTTTCATCTCTAATGTTCTTTAGGGTTGCAAGAAGCCCGATGATCGTTGTGAACTAAACTTGCAAATACAGCGATGTCCGGCTCATCCACCAAATCAACTTACCGACACGTCGGAGCTGTGGGGTAAAAGCCCACCACAGCAGACTAAATGGACAGTTCATCCGATCTCGGTTAGAAGATCGCTGCAGCTCATATTTCCGAGACATCGGACATTCGATGACCTTCACCTGCCAACTTTCTCCTCTGCGTTCATAAAGACCCATATCATTCGTCGCCCACACCGATTCTACAAATCCAACTATGTTTCCTGACAAGAATATCCCGACTACGGCGTTTGTTGTGGACAAGCCAGGAGCACCCTTTGTTCTTCAGGATGTCATTCTAGATGAAGTCCGAGCAAATGAGGTACTGGTGGAGATGAAGTATACGGGCCTTTGCCACACGGTATGTATAGATCACTATTTTGGTGACCCGCGTCCAATCTCAAACAACCACGATGAAGAACAGTAGTAATGATATACAGGATATTGTTGTTCAACAAGGTAAATTTCCTGTTGGCGAATTTCCAGCCGTGCTAGGCCACGAAGGCGCTGGCATCGTGCGCCGCGTTGGTGGAGACGTTAGAGACAAGTCCCTCAAAGAAGGCGATCTTGTCTTCCTGAGCTTCACCCCCTGCAGTAAAGATACATGTTCACCATGCAGTGAAGGTCGACATGGCTTCTGCGGCGAGAATACAGTCATCAATTTCATCGGTGCGCGCGGTCTCCATGCTTCCGATTCACCTATTTCCCTTGCTGGTGGGAAGGGTCCTGTTCGTGGTCAATTCTTCGGCCAATCTTCGATGAGCAAGCTTGCCATCGTTGATGAGCGTTCAATAGTCAAATCTGATCCCGCGTCTGGAGTCACGGTTGAAGATATGGCTTTCTTGGCTCCCTTGGGCTGCGGGTACCTCACCGGCGCTGGTACCGTCTTCAATGTACTCAAGCCAAAGGCTGGGAGTAAGTTCGTCGTGTTTGGAATGGGTGCTGTCGGTCTGGCCGCAATGCTGGCGGCGCGATCTCGAGGCGTCGAAACAGTCATCGCCGTTGATATTGTCGATGCTAAGCTCGAGCTAGCGAAGTCTCTTGGTGCATCGCATACACTGAACACAAAAGGTGTATCTGATATTGCGCAAACTTTACTTGAGATGTTCCCGGATGGCATTGACTGTGTACTCGATACTACTGGCGTTGTGCCTTTGCTCGAGGCCGGTGTAAAAGCACTGGGACATGAAGGCATCCTCGCTATAGTGGGCGTGGCTCCGCTGAATTCCACCATGAAAATCGATCCTTTGGCGCTCATGACTGGCTGCAAGCGTATAGTTGGCGCAATTGAGGGCTGTGCCAATCCTGGTTTGGTGAGCTCGATGCCTCCATCTTCACTCTTCGGATCTGACTAACGCTTTGCTTTGCAGATTGTCCCGGAATTAATTGATCTTTATAAGCAAGGCAAATTCCCTGTCGAAAAGTTTGCTACCATCTACGCCCCAGATGAAATTGAACAAGCTATGTCGGATCTACACTCTGGCAAAGTATGTGGCCTGGCCGCAATCGCTACCTGAATGAATGCTAACTTCTGCCAGGTCATTAAGCCCATCATCAAATGGTAAGACATGTGGACTTAGCGTAACGATCTTGGGATGGAGGGTATACTCACTGCTGGCACAAATCAACCATACAACCTCTGCGGCTGTCCAGGCGATCCATTGTTTGTTTTAGAGATAGCTATCACAGAGAATAAATTGAAAGTGTGGTATAGCTACTTGATCGTGCATGTTAGGCAACTTGGAAGCTCAACTAGAAAAACTCCTAGGTCTACTCTGGAGATGTAGAAAGGTTCTGGTGCAGCTCCTTTCGTTGCACCGCACCGAAACGAAGATTGCCAACATCAAATACCTATGGATGAAGTTAGCCCCCGCAGTGAAGAAGCGAGGTGATCCAGGGACTTACTGCGTAAATGGCCTTTAAGAATGTGTCGCCCAGAATATCCATAGTCATAGACCCACGACTCTGGATTCCGCCGTATACATAGCCAGACTTCGCCGGGGCGAACCCTAAATCCTCTTTCTGCACGACGAACTGTTTGTCGCCAACAGCGAATGATATCACCGAAAGCTTGTCGGCAGTTGTATCGGACGGATATATCCAACCCTGGCTATCATCATCATAAATTGCACCTTCAATGGCATCGTAAATTTCCTGACAAACTTCATCTTCAACCAATGCTAACGTAGTGCCAGTATCAGCAATGGCCTTATTTCCGGGTCGAGAAATTGATTTCCCATTGACAGTCGCCGATGCAGAGTCAAACATCCAGAATCCTTGACTCTTATCAATCGCTGTGTAATGAATGTCTGCCTCAGCAGCCTTGATCGTATCCTGGTCAACATAACCAAAGGTATAAAACGACTCGCCCTTATCAGGCTCATCAGTATCGCGCCACGATCCCAATTTCACGGTGAACAGCTGCGCCGATTTGGGAATATCGGATTGTGAAATCATGTTTTCCACGGGTGTACTGACAGCCTTCGGTTTGACGGTATTGATATTGCCAAAAGCAAGTCCCAGAAGTCCATCTCCGGCGCCTTGTGCGAATTGCGCAGACAAGGAATCGGCTATCTCAATGGCCTGGTCTTTGACGACTAGCCCGCCAATATTGACATTGTCGTTACCAACCAAACCAGAGGCCGAGGAGCCATCGCCATAAGAGATCTTCCAGACCGATTCCTCCTTTTCTTTGTAGGTGCTCGACTTTTTCGGGTCGAAAACAGCGTGGCCTTTATTTTGTGACAGAGTATCAGGCGACAGCTTCGTAGACCAGACCTAGAGAGTACTTAGTTGAGTTGGTCACATCATCACAGCTTCCCAGATATACCTACCCATAAATCAGCCGAGCCAGTATCGAAGTCTAGACTGACTTTCTGCGCAGGTGTGCCGATCTCGATATCAGCGAGATACATGGAGTCATTCTGCACGTCGTCGGCGCCAACCTGCCCCACCTGGTCGTTGTCGGCACTTTTCTTTTGAAGGACTTGTTGCAAACGAGCACGGCCTCCGATGGGCTTGGTGGTAAATGGTCGGCCAGATTGAACCATTGTGTTACCGAATATGTATGGCCCACCTTTGGTCGGGCTGAAGCGATACTTGCGCATGGCATGTAGATATGACTTTGTGCCAGACTTCTGATAGCGAGGGTTTGCCTTGAGCTTGATGCGGGTCGTCATGGTGGATGATGTGAAGTGGTTAGTTCGGCGAGCGCTGGGCGTGGACAGGACATATATATCCCAAGCTCCACCACTTCTTTCAGGTTAAGACTGCCACAGTGTCATGAGATATGTTGTGGGGCATTTGAAACAAGATTTACTCAGGTCTTTCTGAAGTGCGAATAGCCACAACCATTCGCCCTACATTATCAGAGGCGAAGCTTATATTGACATTTCGTCATCGTGAATACGTTGGGGTTAGTGCTGTTTCAAGATCTGCACTGTGATACGGACTCCGGTCTTAGTTGGGCGGGGATGTTGCACGCCACCGCTGCCCAGGTGAGGAACCAGTGCATTCAGGGGCCGGTCCCGAGTCTCAGGGACTTCGGAAGAACCTTGGAAGATAAACAGGAAAATAATTCTATTTTGAACATGGAATTACAGTACATGGTAAATAGCCTAACGCCGAGCCCGACAAACCCCCATATCCAGATGTTCAAGACCATAAACATAATTATCTCTTGCGACTCTTCGACTTAGTCGCAGCGGTACTAGTCGCCCGAGAGCTTGCTGTTGAGGCAGCCTTGCTGCCTCCCTTGGTGGCCTTGACCTGCTTGTTCTGCTGCATCCAAAGTTAGAATAGCCAACGTGAAAGGATATGATTCAAGCACTTACGGCACCGTTCTTGGCCTTCTTCTTGGCCGGAGCTGCGTCTTCAATCTCTTCATCCTCGTCACGATCACGGCCGCGACCCTTGCTATCGCCATTGGTCTCGAATTCCTTGGCCACAGTGTTCAGCAGGGTGGTGCAGCGACGACCAATCTCCACGGGTGTGCGGCTGAGGAAGAACCAGTCGAAGCGGAACAGAGATGATTCATGGATCTCCTCGCGAATTCGCTCATAGAGATCTTCGCCCTCGACACCATACTTGTCCAGCATGACCAAGAGGAAGCGGTCTTCCTCTTCGATGTAGACCTTCTTGTTGGTGGTGGAAACTGTGTAGTTGATCTTGAGCTGCTGGAGAGGCGAGCGATACATTTCCAACTTCTTGCGCAGCATCTTTCGCTGATGGTCGATCTTGCGCACCTTCTCTTCACCCTGATCGATGACCTTGAGGTACTTTGTGTAATCCTGGATTTCAGTGTATCGCTGCCAGAAGACCTTGGCATATTCTTCGATCTCATCCGGCTCCTTGCTATCCACCTCGGTGGCGATGCCGACATAGTCGGTGCGGCCAAACTTGGCAGATCCATTGACGAATTGTTGGAAATCACGTCGGTTCCAGGTTGCGAAACCTTCTTCCGACATGCGGGTCTTCTCGGCTTGCTCCTCTTCGGTCAGGGGTACAGCATTGTCAATCTCCTGTTGCTCAAGGTCTCTCTCGGCCTCTCGCTCGCTAGACTCCTCTTCAGGGCCTTCGGGAAGCTGCGCCTTGTAACCGATTTCCTTGTGGAAATAGGCTGTCTCTTTTTCTTGCAGCTCGTGAAGACCGGGAGGGAAGAATTGCCAGTCGTGGACAGTGATCTGCTTTGGGGCACGAGGAACCTTAGGCTTAGTGTCGGCTGTCCGGCCTCCCGTGGATAAAGTCTGGCGATAGTACTGGTCGATTGAGTAGAACTGCTCCTTGCGCTCACGCTTGGCGGGGTTGATCCAGCTGATTCCAATGTCCTTCTTGCGCTCAGTGAAATCCTTTCCGTTCCACTCGTATGCACTCTCAGATGAGAACTTCTGCAGGTCATCGATGCCAAGGGCTTCATATTTCTTACTGAGCTCAGCAGTTCGTTCTTCACCCTTGCGCAGGATGTCTTCGATGTCATCTATGGTAGTGTCGGCGGCATCGCCAGCATCCGGGTTGGCTAGCTTGTTAGCACCATGTTGAATCATGCCAAGAAGGTCTTCCTTGGAGTTGGTCTTCGCCTGCTGTCCAGCGCGACCTTGCTGGATGACCAGCTGGTCCAGGCGCAATTTTTGGGCTGCACGTTCGAGGACCTTCTCTTCAATAGCATCTTCTGTGACGAATCGGAAGACCTTGACTTGCTTGGTTTGACCGATACGGTGAGCACGATCCATAGCCTGCAGATCGGCCTGGGGGTTCCAATCACTGTCAAACAGAACGACGATGTCGGCAGTAGTCAAGTTAATACCCAAACCACCTGCTCGGGTGGTGAGAAGGAACACGAACTTATCAGACCCGGGCTTGTTGTAGTCGTCAATGGCAGCAATGCGGTCCTCGTGTGCTGTGGTACCATCAATACGACAGTAGTTGTAGTCTCTGAACACACAGTAATCTTCCAGGATATCCAACACACGGCTCATCTGCGAGAAGATAAGCACGCGGCTGCCATCCGCCTTCACACGCTTCAGAAGCTTGTCCAAGATGGCCATCTTTCCAGAGTTGTACACAAGATGCTCGTCAGTGGTATAAGGAGGACCTGGCTCAGCTCCTTCAAACAGGTAAGGGTGATTGCAGCACTTCCGCAGTTGCATAACAATGTTTAGCAGACGGGTCTTGGACTCGCGCTTGCCGGCAGCGCCATTCACAGCGTCGATATCCTTCTCCAAAATCTTCTGATACCACTTCTTCTGCATAGCTGACATACCAACATAAAGGTTGAGTTCCTTCTTGGGGAGCAGACTCTTCTCAACGTCACTCTTCACACGTCGAAGCAAGAATGGGCGCAGAACACGGTGCAGTTGCTGCACAACGGTGTCCTGGTCGGAGTTCTGGTTCGAGAACCATTGATCGAATGCCTCGGAGTCGCCAAAAACATCAGGCAGAAGGAAGTTCAGCAAAGCCCAAAGCTCATGGAGGTTGTTTTGCAAAGGTGTACCGGTGATCAAGAGTCGGTTGCGGGAGTTGAAAAGGCGAATGATCTGGGAGAGAGACGATTCTTCGTTCTTGATGCGATGGGCCTCATCGATGATGATGTACTCCCAGGCAAATTTCTTCAAGTGTGATTTCTCGCGCAAAATCATTTCGTAACTCGTGATGCAGACGTCGAACTCATCTTGGAGCAAGCGTTCATTGATAATCTGTTGACGCTCATCTTTGTTTCCCTGGAGCACCAAGACATCAATGTCGGGTGTCCACCGCGCGAATTCACGTTTCCAGTTATCCAGTGTTGACTTCGGCACAACGACCAAGTGAGGCCCGTTGATATCGCAGATGTATCGGAGGTAGCCCAGGAAAGAGATTGTTTGGAGAGTCTTACCCAGACCCATTTCATCGGCCAGGATACCGGAGATACCATTCTCGTGCAGGGACACGAGCCAGTTCAGACCTGCAACTTGGTAGTCACGCAGTTCACCGTGAATGAAAGCTGGAGATTCACGGAAGATAGTGGTAGTATCGCCGCCATGCTTCTCATCCTGAAGGAGCTCCGCATCCTCTTCTTGCTCGGTCCGGCGGCGGCGTTCGCCGCCAGCACCACCGGAGCGCTTTGATCCTTTCCGGTTCTTCTCGTCCTTCTCTGCGTTTTGTCTGTCGATTTCAGCCATGATTTCCTTGATTTCGGGGTTTGGGTTTGTCTCGATGAAGTGGCGGAAAAGATCTGTAAGGCCAAGGAGGTATCGGAATCGACGAATGGAGTCATCCTCCTGTATTCTGTTAGCACCATAACCAGAGATAACCACAGAGCCTAGCACATACCTTCGTGCTATCCAAGTTGCCATGCTTCTTGCCTAGGATGCTTTTCCTGAGGTTGTTGGCCTCAGATCTCCTCCGACGCCCGTCGGCCGTGTCGCCTGCAACGCTGCTGGCAGTTGTGTTGGGATTTGTGTCGGAGTCCTGCAGATAAGTTAGAATTCATTCCATTACAGCCAAATTCAAGCAGAATAGACCAAGGGATCTGTACCGTGTAGTCTGGGGTGTCCTGGTGGCTCTAGATTGCGACGAAGTGTTAGCATCATCTTGAAGCAATATCGGAAATCCAAGCCCAGATGACAGTTCAAAAGGCCATATGGAATATTGAGCGAGGAGGTCATGACATACCGTCATTGGAGCGTCGGCACTGTCAACGGGCACCAGAGGCACAGTGTCGTCATTTGCGTCGGTCATGGGGGTATCAGCCTGTGAGACAGGGTCGGACGCGAGAGTGGGAGCCATTTGATATTTATCTGAAGCGCACTGCGCGCGGGCCGGGTGGTTTAAAGATCAGATCTCAAAATTGCAACAAAGAGAGTTGCAGCTCGCGACTAATTGAAGCGCGTGAATAGTGAATGCGAGAAGTTCGGATTGGTCAAAGGATGGGGTTTGTTTCTGATTTCAAGAATGATTGCTGAAAAGGTAAGAACCATTCATTGGAGAAAGGCCATGAAAAGACTGGTATTGAGCAAGTCTCGCGCAGGATTGAAGATATTCCAGCGCGCCGAAGAGATAATGGGTCCTGTACACGGGCGGACCGCGTTAGCTTTTTTACATAAGTACTGACTCAGCGCGGGCTCCGGCGCTAGCCTGGCGGCCTGGTGGGCTGTGAAGACTATGGAAATCCTGTCTTAAACACACGACCTTCATTTTAGAGACACAGCCATCTAGGTTGCAGATCTAGCTGCGTCCGTGCCTAATCACTGTGAGAGCGAAGGGGCTTAGAATTCATTTGTTCAATTAAACTAAATAAAAGATAACAGTCGAGCTTGTATGTGTCACTAGATTGAAAGATCTTATCGAAGTCAATGCGACTTTCAAAGAAGGAAGGGTTCTTGGTATGCTCAAAAATCATACATATACAGTGCCCGTGGACACAAATACAAATCGACAGTGCGTGTCGATAGGTAAAATTGGACGTGTCGAAAATAGCGGAAGATTACGTTTTTCCTTCCTTAGGTCATCTCGTTACCGGAGCAAACGGCGGGGCCTGCAAAAGACGATCGGCGAGGAAAGCTCCTTCTGTTCACCCACCTTACTGTTACACCACCTCGGGCTCAAGGACTTGCTTACTTCTTATGCGCTATTTCCGTTTTGGACGCTATCTGTATATTTAGGATTTTGGCCCCCTGAGCCTCATAACACGGACAAGTTGTCACTTGCAACCGAGACTGTCAAAACCTTGATATCCTTTGCTCCTGCCATGGACTCCATGCGATCATTGAACACCTCTTTGCCGAGCTCGACGCCTCGCACACAACCCCCGGAGCAACTTCTTCAGCAGTTCAAGGCAGCGGCCCTGTCCGTCACCAACCTATACAAGAATGCAGTGTGCGAGCAAGCCCAGGCGCGATCAGCTGGATATCAAGAGGCAGTAGAGGATCTACTGCACTTCCTTGACCGCGAGAATCTTGGACTTGGCGATGGAGAGGGGTGGAAGGTCCGACAATGGGCAACGGAGAGGTGTGATGGGACTGCATCCCAGACCAGCGACGAGGATACAGAGACCGACAAGCGGGACCGGAGTACCACACCAACCGCTCCGCGGAAGGAGCCATCCCCCGCCGAGCAAACTCGCCAACCTTCGACCTCGGCTCAAACGCCCACACCCAAGCCTGAACAGTCCACACCCCCCACACAATCCCATGAAACACCCTCACTTGCCACGCCCGCCATCTTCACTTTCTCTGCTGGTCCAGCGTACCCCGAACTCGACATGGATGTGCAATCCGATAACTCCGCTACAACTACGCAAGACGGTGCCCCTGTGAGCGTTTCTGTCATGCCACGCAACACTCGCCCGCACCATCGCCACAACAACCTTGCACGATCAAACCCACGTCCATCCCCACGAGAGTCCCCCGCTAGCATCGGCTCAAAAAGGAAATTTACTTTCCCTGACTTCTTTGACTTATCGGGACTCAACAACGGCCGAGATATGGGCGGAGGAGGGAAACGAGGCCGCTTCACCTAGGGCCCAGGCTCTAGGCTCAGTATACGATATTGACGAAGTGACGAGCATTACCTTCAGAGCGTCATGCAGTTGCTAGGTGGGATACAGGGTGCGAGGGTGCTTTTTTCGGGTGCATAACAAGGAAAGGAATTTGCATATGGTTTTGTTTCTCTTCTTCTTCTTTTTCATTCTCTGGCTTCTTACATGGGGGGTTTCTTGATTACTCTTTTCGTTTTCACTTCCTTTCTCCTTTTCTTGCGTGACTTTCTCCTTACCCTTGTCATATAGCATATAGAAGGATATGCCTTAGGTGATACCCTATACCCGAAGTGGCAATTATCATTGGTTGCAATTACATAGCATTTCAATATCTTACAAAGTTTCCATTTCGTCCTGCAATGTCAACCACTTGGTCTGCGCAAGCCCGGAGTCGATAGCGTGTGGCATGCTCCAAGGTTGTTTGTAGTACAACGTTCAGTTGAATGCTCGCCACAGTCCCATTCCTACCAGAGTTGCTGATATCGAGGCGATTCCGAGTTGGCGTGAACCCATCTTGTATTTCGTAGCACCTTGCATAATCGCTTTCTCTTGTTTGCGCAGGTTGGCCATTCCAGTGTAGTAGCTGTAGACGCCGAGGCCAACGAACGCAGCGGATCCTACGCAGATGCATCAATAAAAATGTAAAGACCGCAAAGGTGGTACTATAAAGTGTAAACATACCCATCACCCGGCAGGACATGCAGTCATCAAACTGGTCCTCGGCCAAAGCCTGCTTGGCATCTTTCAGTTTAACATCGGAGGGAGACATTTTGCATGAAATAGATCCAGGATTCTGTGCAGAGTGAGTAAAATTCAAACGTGCACCAAATCACTTGCCCTCAAACAAGAAGACGGTTGTCGACGTCTCCAAAAAGTTGACAGAAAGCGGGAATCGGCGGCAAAACTGGCAGCTTCACAGCTATGCAATCTACGCCGAGAGGTTCCATCACCAGACAACAGCCACAATGAGCGGCGAGATCGATGCCGTCTACATATATGACGAGCAAAAGTAAGATATCCCGCATCCCCCCACAAGAAAGTCACTAACGCGCTGCTCCTAGCGCCCCTCTCGTTGAACATGTATATCGATCCCGCCCGCCTTCGGCCTCCGCCATCCTGCCCCTCTACCTTGCTCATGCTGCCCCACGCCCTTCCTTGCTGTATATCCCTAGTGCCTCGCCACCGGTGACGGTATTTTCAACGGTAGAGTCAAACCTGTTGTTTCTTGCGATCAGCGAAGTCGACACAGAACCACTGCTTGCGCTAGAGTTCCTACATCGCGTAGTTGACGCGCTAGAGGACTTTGTTGGATCACCGCTGCTTTCAACTAAGATTCAATCAAGTTATGATGTCGTTGCGCAATTGCTCAATGAGATGTGTGACGGGGGAACGGTATGCAATACTGAACCCAACGCCCTGCAAGAAGTCGTTGAAGTTCCCGGGTGGATGGGAAAGCTGCTAGGTGGAATTGGAGTCCCTGGGTAAGTAGACATTGCATTGAATATCGCTGCACTTACTGACGAGATTCTCTCCCATAGTACATCTACACCGACGTTGGGTTCTAGCAATCCCCTTAAACAATCCCTCGCGGCTGCCAGTGCATCTCAAGGACCAGCCATTCCCTGGAGACGGCCCGGAGTACGACACACATCCAATGAGCTATATGTCGATATTATTGAATCTCTGAATGTCACTATGGCTCCTTCGGGGCGATTACTCTCCGCATTGGTCTCCGGGACCATTGCGTTTACCGCAAAGATATCTGGAGTTCCAGACCTGATGTTGTCGTTATCAGCACCGGGTGGCCAGCACGTCCTTGGTCGCAAGATGGAGCTCCCGGTATTTCATCCGTGTGTTCGACTGGCCCGATGGAAAGAACGACCTGGGGAGTTCAGCTTTATACCACCAGACGGAAGATTCATCTTGGCTGGCTACGAGGTGGACCTTCTCCCCATAGACCCTGATCTCGATGAGTCGCCAAGCCATATGGAGAAGGTCTTTTTACCCGCGATTGTTGACATTCGCAAGTCATTAGGGTCATCTGGATCGGAGTTCGAGGTCCGGTTGACTCTGAACACGAACTTCCCTGGTCAAAGCTCATCCTCTCGACCTGGTGCTGGGCGAAACGGATCAGGTAATTCAACGCCATCCTTCCTGGGTGGCGGTGGTGGTAACTCTGCTCCCGTACTGGAAGAAGTTGTTGTCAGTGTACCGATATCCAAATCCGTTCGACATATCACGGACATGCAGGCCAGCCGTGGTGACGCCCAATTCTCCCCTTCAAACGGGCTCCTCGAATGGCGGATTCCTACTGGAAAGGATGCTGGATCGCTTTCCGGGACCGCGACGCTACGCTGTAGTGTCTCAGGCTACCCCTCGGCCGATGACGACCTCGACAGTCCAGATGATGCTGATGAAGACGCCAACGCGAATCTCCTCCAGGGCTATTACGAAGCCCCCACTTCGTACAATGACGCATCTGCCAGTACATCCAAGAAAACCCGATCTTCGGACCCTTCCAAGCGAAAGAAGAAGAAGAAGAAGTCCACAAAGAAGTCCCGCTCTGCGCTTCACCCAGAGGACGCCGAAGAGGACCCAACCGCGGCGAATGCTCCGGCAACTACCCCATCACCTAGTCATTCTAAACCTCCAACACCCACCCCTCCACCTCAGCCTCAATCATCAAACTCTCACCTTCCTGCTTTCTTCGCTCCATCCACATCCCGCCCGGCTCGCAGAACCAAAGCCCAGGTCAATGCCAGCCTAATGCCAAACTCTGCATCTGTCTCTTTCTCCGTGCGCGGCTGGTTGCCGTCCGGTATCAAAGTCGAAAGTCTCAACATCGACCAGCGGCGGAGTCGCGGCTTGGGCGAGGGTGTCAAGCCATACAAGGGTGTCAAGTATCTTTGTGTAAGCAATCGTGGCGTGGAACGACGCTGCTGAGAATGTCGCCTTGGGGTTCAATAGACCAAAGCATCGATTTGGATTCAATAGCGTTTTGATAACTACTGCATTTGACAGCATGAGTGATGATATGAAATTTGCATATGTCTTTTGTAGCCGCCTTTTGAGTCTAGTACTGTAGTCATTGCCATGTTGAGCCCTGGAGATTCAGGCGTGCCTTGCTGATTGCATGGTATCCACTGCGCACGTCCTCTAGGGCAAGACCCAGGGTCGAAGACAAGTACCTACCTAGGTAGGTATCACCTGGGCACCGCTTCTATGGATGATGCCCAAGTGTCAACCTTGAAAGAGTCATCGTCCAGGGCTACTTCACGGGTGGGCACTATCCGCTCATAATATGAGTGTTTCCTAGCATGATTGACAAAATACACAAATGCTTCTCAATTTCTACGGATTGATCTAACTTTCCATCCCGAGGTCTTACTACCTGTAGACGTGAATTCCAGACTACACACCCCAAGCTTGAGTCACTGTAGTATGTGCAATATACTATTACTTTGGATGATGCAGGCATATCCGGGGATTGCTCTACATTTCGAGATATTACGGGTGCCCCGAATGTGGCCCGGGCACACAAGAATGGGCACGATTTCAAATTTCTTCTGATTCAATCCAGTATTTACATCTTGAAAGACAAGTTAAGACCGAAGAAACTAGCTGTGATCAAATATGACCAGCAAAAAGAACCAGAATCTCCAAAGGCACATAGCAAAGCAGAGTAGAGCACATGGCGAAGTATTTGACATAGAAAAAGATCGACCATCCCGTCAACCTACACCTAGGCCCAGGTGTCCACCAACCTGATACAATGGGGAGTGATCAACGGGAAGGCAATCTTGAAACCCCCCACCTGCAACAAATTTAGACGGAGGGGCGTCGATCAGACGATCTCAATTTTGGACTCACAGCTTCGAGCGACGCTCGAGAAGCCGGAGGATGATGTAGGCAACTATTTACGAGTTAGAAGATATTTCGAGTACATATGATTTGTGGATTGTGACAACAGGGGAGGGGTAACAGTAATAGGCTATTCATTGGTATTCACAGATTATGGGCGTAGCGTTTTTTTGTCATGGTTTTTGGTATTGGGGACGGTATCTGGAACACGAGGATCGAGACGGATAGGAAATCGGAGATTATCAAGAGGTAGCCGGGGGACGGGGCAGGATTAAACCAATACATCAAGATGGGGGTATATAAAGAAGGGATTATGTTCACCATGGCAATCATATAGTCAAGAAGCGGAAGGCTTGTTGGATAGATGAAGCCACGGAGTCCTTGGGCGCCATTCTCTAGAAATGAAGGCGAAGAAAACCAAGGAGGGGATCATTCATGGAGGATGTTTTCCAATAGAAAGAAAAGAAACTTTTACTCACTGGCAGCAACGGTAGCAGCTCGACCGGCACCGGAAGCCGCAGTGCCACCACCCAGAGTGGTGACATAGCGCAACCAGCCGAGAGTGAGCTTGTTGCCACTGCGGTCGAAGTCGGGCTGGAGCGCGCTGGCCGCGTTCCAGGTGCTGATCTTGCCGGCATACGGGGGGTAGCGAATAGACAGGATCGACTCGAGCCAGCTAGGGGTGGAGGTGACTGGGCGACGGTGCACCCAGACGTCGAAGCTGGAGCGGCCACGGTAGGCACCGTAGCCACTCTCGCCGACACCACCGAAGGGCAGAGTGGGGATGTGCAGAGCAGCATCGTTGACGGAGACACCACCGGAGCGGGTGGAAGAGATGACTGGGATCGAGTTAGATGGGAAGGGCTTATACAGAACGCAGGTTTGACTTACTCTTGTCGACTTCGGCCTTGTTGCCGAAGGGGTAGAGACCCAGTGGGGTGCTCTGCACACCGTTAGCGAGGCGGATGGCCTCGTCCAGGTTCTCAACAGCCAGAATTGGGATGAAGGGACCGAAGCTCTCCTGGGTGCACAGGGAGTCCTCGATGGAGTCGACCAGGACAACAGTGGGGTCGATGAACAGCTCCTTCTCATCGACGGTGCCACCCATGACGATCTCACCCTTGGTGTTATCGAGCATGGACTTGAGGCGGGCGAAAGCACCAGGGTTAATGATGCGAGAGTAATCAGGCGACTGTCTGGCACCGTCGGGGTAGAACTCCTGGTATGCGGCCTTGAACTCCTCCACGACCTGGGGAACAAGCGGCTTGTCGACCAGGAGGTAGTTCTGCGAAGTGCAGAGCTGACCAGCGTTCAGGGTCTTACCCCAAAGCATGCGACGAGCGACAAGTCTGGGGTCGGCATTCTTGGTCACGATGGCCGGGTTAATACCACCAAGCTCGAGAACAACAGGGGTCAGATGCGGCGCGGCAGCCTTGGCGACGATCCGTCCAACAGTGGCACTACCCGTGAAGAAAATCTTGTCCCACCGTTCGGCGAGCAGGGCCTGGGTCTCGGGAATACCACCCTGGACAATCTTGTAGCATGAAGGGTCGAGGCTCTCCTCGACGATCTTTTGCATGACCGCTGCGCTGCGCGAAGCACTTTCACTGGGCTTGATCACGACCGTGTTACCGGCGGCGATGGCACCGATGACCGGGCCCATGGTCAACTGGAAGGGGAAGTTGAAAGCACTATCAGCGGAGAGATGAGCCATTAGCTTCGGGTCATTCACATGCGCTTTTTCGAGACCTACCCAATAACCAGCACACATCCGAGGGGATCCTTTCGGATCTTCGGGTTCATGAATTTGAAGGCAAGATCGATGTCATCGGCCTTTTCGTCGGCAGCCCATTTGTGCAGGTTGCGCGTGGTGAACACAATGTCGTTCAGGAGCCATCCACTCTCGGCGAGATTTGTCTCGAACCGAGGCTTGTTCAAGTCCTTCTCGCAGGCCTCGAAGATGAGCTCCTCATTGTCCTTGATACTAGTTGGCTGTCAGTCATGGTGCAGAAACATGCCAAGGGAGAAACTCACGCCCAGTAGAGCTTGCGCAGCTGCACAAGGCGGAACTCGACGTCACGGGTTTTGTTCTCCAAAAACGCGTTCCGGGCAGCGGAGATGGCCACAGGAATCTCGTCCAGCGAGGTGTATTGCAGTTCGGGAAGATTAGACATGGTATATTGCAATATGAGAAGTAAATTTAAGAAAGAAATAAAATATAGCGAAGCTTGTCTTTTAGGGAGAACAGAGATGCAAGTTCAAGGATAAGGTCTCCGCACATGCTCCGAGCTCTCGGTCTCGCTCTGATTTCGGCTGCTCCTCCGCCCCCCTTTCCTCCGCACCATCGCCATGGTCTGACTTGGATTCACCCGTTGAGCTCGGGATTGAGTCTGTTCTGCATCGACCCTCCTGGATTCTCTTTACTGGGGGTCTCTAAAGAACAGCTATCTCTACAGCGAACTCGGTGTCAGCAACGTGAACCGCGGCTTCACAGGATCTACACTCCCCGCTTTTAATACGATCGGCATTTGCAAAGATTTTCTTCTATTGGATCTCGTGCAGGATTGTGAATGAAACCGAACGCGAAGTGGGGTGCATGGCACAAGTACTTATACTTGTAGAGGTTAGACCTCGTATTAGGTTTCCAAGGTTAATCTCTGACAGTCTCACGACGCTAAGTACCTGCAGCACAGGTACAAAGTGACTGCACTAGTCAATTATCGTGAGAAATGGCTGTGATCAAATCATCTCGTATTCGTGCTATCGTCAGCAGCATCTCCTACACGGTATCTATGCGGGAACTTTCAGATTGCAAACGGAATGGGCCCCGGAAGAGACCGCGAATCAATTGGCTGTATACAATAGAACAATGTTAAGAAAACGCCGGAACAAGACACGAGACAGTATATACTGCAAGGGTATCAACACAACTCGAAATCAGTTCTTGAACTGATCCTCAGTAACACCCTTGCCCATCGCAGCGGTACTACTAACACCACCGGAAACCATCTTCAACAGATTATCGACATAGTTAGCACCACTCCATTTCTGATGCGTAACGACATCGACACCCTGCTCCATCTCCGGCTCCTGGACCAGTTCACCATAGGCACGCATTCCATGTTTCGCGAATGCCTTGGCGAACTGGTGCGAGATCAAGGCTGTGGTGTGCAGACCCGCCAGGGTGATGAACTGCCACGAGTAACCAAGTTCACCGAGACGCTTAATGTACGTCTCTTGCTCGTCGCGGGGCATGGCCTTCTTCCAGTTGAACGATGGGGAGAGGTTGTACGCCAATCTAGGTGGAGGTTAGTTTAATAACTCAAAGACATATTGACACCGCGGATCGCGGGAGGTGGAGAATTTCGGGAAAATTTTCAACGAAAGAAAGGGGCTAGAAAGACTTACTTTTGTTCGGGCCACACGGCATGCACGCCATCGGCGAACTCCTTGGCTTGCTTGTAATCGGGAAGCTTGCTTTCCATCCAGATGAGATCGGCGAAAGGTGCGTATGCGATGGCGCGGTTGACGGCACATTGCGTGCCGCCCTGGTAGCGGTAGAAGCCCTCGCGGGTACGGGGAGCGTCCCAGTTCCAGAAGATGTCGACTCCGGTGAGGCTCTTGGCGATGGCACGAGCTTCGTTGTTACTCTTTCCCTTTACGGAGGTCAGGTACTGGTCGGCGAGGCTCTTCTTGTTGACGTGGACACCAGAGTTGATAGCGTCGATCACAGCCTCATTGAACAGCTTGAGACCGGCCTGGCTAGTCCACTGATCTTCAATGGCCTGCAGCTCCGCGCCGTTCTTGCCGGATCGCTCGGCTGCGGTCATCAAGTCATTGAGGGGCTGGAGGCTGGGGTTGGTTGAGCCCACGATGAAGGCGTGGTCACGGTCGTCGATGGTCGAGGTGATGAGAGTGGCTGCTTCAGAGTCGGTACGGGCAATGGCCAGGAGGTCAGAGCCCATGATATCGGCCTGGGCACGGATGGCAACCAGGCGGTTGATGTGCTCGCTGATGGGCACGAGAACCTTGCCGGCCATGTGGCCGCACTTCTTGGTGCCGGGAGCCTGGTCTTCAATGTGAATACCGGCCGCACCGCGCTCGACGAAGAGCTTGGTCAGCTTCATGACGGCAGTCAGACCACCGTGACCAGTGTCGGCATCGGCAATGATGGGTCGTAGGTAGTCGATGTTGGCAACATTTCCACGCTGACCAGCAGGAGTGGTAACACGCTCCTCACGCTGTTTCCGGTCGTGGAAGAGTTGTGCCATGAACAATTGGTTGACTTTGCGGGGGACGGTATCCTGGGAGATGCTGTTAGCGTCTGTGAGACATCCTTCATCGCCATATCACATACCATAGGGTAATCGGCCAAATCGGGTGAGGGCTCGTCGGTGGACGAGGCGGTAGATGAGCTCTGCCAGCCAGAGACGTAGATGGTGTCGAGGAACTGGCTCATTTGTGTGATCATGGTAGGCTCGAGACAGCCGTAGGTGAAACTGGCTTGCTTGTTCTGTTCGTCGATCATATAGTTAGCCATCGGGACTATCGCATCCTGTATACCGCCATTGACACTCATACCTGGAAGTTTGACTCAACGATTCCCCACAGCTTCTTCGCCTGCACATTGGAAGGATAGTTGATCTTCAAGTTACCACGCTTGGCCACGATCTGCTCCGCTGTGAAAGGACGCTTGGTGTAGCGCCAGCGAGAGTCCTTCCACCAATTCTGGACAGCCTGAACCTCGGCCGCATACTGGCGGTCTTCATCTTCGTGTAAACCCATGACTTTTGGTATAGTACAGAATGAGGGTGCAAATGCAAGAAAGTGTATGATGACACAGACAGTTCCCAAGGTTCAATAGACACCGAGGGGGATGAGAAGTAGGAAATGGAGGTATAATATAAGAAAGGGGATCACAAGCCAGAAAACCCGGGGTACTTATTTAAACCTCGAATGCGTCACAGTCGGTAAACGCTCGGCTCACCGGGAGTACAGCGAAGACTCGCAATGCCTAGGTATTCATCTTACTGTTCAGGCTCGACCAATGTTTCACGGGCATTGCGCTCCGAAAGGCGGAAGGCGGGTATAACTGGGTTCGGAAGAGAGGATCCAGATTTGGTTGATCCTCGGTCTAATGGGACATCGCTTTGCCACTGCTGACTCTCTCTTGTGTGACTGAGGCAAGGGGGAAACCATCGGGACCTCATCTTGAGCATCACATTGTTCACCTCTAGGCTTTTCCTCCCTCACAATCAAGTAGATATCTTTGTTTGGAGTGTTGAAGCAACGAGAGCCGGAATGCGCATGACGTCGAAGACACATGCTAGTACCATGGCATTACATGGTATTGTAACTTTCATGTGAATCTTCAACGTCTTCCCTGCGGTACCAAAGCAGTTTATTAGCAGCAGATCAGATGCAAGAATAGCTAGACCAGATACTGTCCGGTGATACGATCAATCGGGCTATTATCCCGTGAAATAGTGGTTGCCTTGCCGTATATCTGAGAAGAGCTTGATAGAACAGGCCCTGGCTGTTTTGTCATGCCCCGGTATTCGGTGGGTATCCACCGGGCAATCCTCACGACTTCGATATACTCGTCCTATAGACCTTTTACATTTCTGCAAGATCTGAGGGCAAATACCTTCTAGCCCTAGATGAGCAAGGGTCATCTTCGGTCATATCTTCTATCTAGTAATGATACAAAGTTCACCAAGCCTACCGACATTTCCATCTCCATCATCCATTCCATCAAAACCACATACGCCATACACCGTACACCGTACGCATTCGACGAAATCGGACCGGGAGAGCTGAATCTCTCAAATGACCTGCACATGCATCTATCCAATAACAGTTAGTTGACTCAGAAAGAAGAGAAAATGACTCAAAGCCACCTTAGAAGTTGGACCTCGGCACAACCGAATGCCCGAACTAACCGCATGGGGGAGTCTCGAAACCGATAAGACTACTCCGTAGTAGATCAGAATCTACAGATCAGGTCCACTTGAAACAAGGTACATGTCGAAATGTCTGTCGCGGTAACTTATTCGTATGGTTCACGTCCGTTATTCGGACACGTAGATCGCCGCCAATGCCGGCGGTATACGGATCGCGGGCCTGCCGAGATACAGAATGAGCCTTATGAGCTCGACAGGTCAATACCATTACGCAGAAGCGCAGTACACTTTTTCCAGGATCAGAACTAATTGATTATCCCGGACATGCAGTCTCGCCCAGTTCCCCAGAGCACGAGAATGGGCTTCGGGAGAATCAGGGACCCTCAGCTCCCCCACCCGTCAATGCGATCCCCATGCGGAGAGCTTAATGACGCCTTGGAAATTCGGGATCTCTCAAATCCTATTTTCTTTTTCGGTCGGTAAGACTGTCGCTCTGCCGAGGTCTCCGCCGGCTTATTTTCGCTATGCTTCGGGCTGTGGTTCTCGTCGCCGACTCACACTTCATCTTGCTTCAGGGGTTAGCGTTTAACAGGATAGTAACGTGAATACATCTACCGGCTTGGATGAGAAAATTGTCATAAACGCCCATTTCTTGTGTATTTCTTATTTTAAGCTCAGAACGCAGAGGCAATGGTCCATAACTATAAATAAATGATATCCAAAAACAGACAAAAGCGAGTCCCTCTCAACTTCTAGATGCAACTTTTGACGATAGTTTTATTTTCGCTCGCACGTCCGCGGACGCATTGTTTGAGCACGTCATGCACACTCCCCTCTGCCAAAGCCAAATCTCCAGCATCATTTTGGGACATGTTATCACGCGTGGGTATGAACGCAAAAGGACGACCCGGAGAATGATTCCAATCATTGCGGAGGGTGTTGGAGTGATGGAAGAATGAAAACTCATCTTCGAACGATATGCCGATCTTGGAAAACGATGCTCAGAATGCATCCTGAGCAACAACCGCCTTGTGGTACGTCTCGTAAGGGGTGATTGTTCCCAGAGAGCGTCTCATATGAGCATTGAGAATTTCCAATCCGTAAACATAACTGGCGTTCACCCAGCCGAATCTGCGAGTGTGTTAGCATAGGAGCAGAGACAAATAATTGCGGAAACACATACCCTTCACGCGGAGCACCCTTGAAGTCCGTGCCTTGATTGCCGTACTCAGCATCGACCCGGTGGGGGTCGATGGGCCTGGTGACATCATACTTCTCGACGACGACGCCGTTGAAGTCGACAAACGCCTTCGTAATCATATAAACCCACTTATACGCCAATCGTTCCGCTTCCTCCTGGTATCCGTAGCGCAGGAACGCAGTCCATGCAAGCATCTGCTGCGGCGCCCAACCGTACGGGTAATCCCACTGCCGGTTAGGGCGGTCCAGGCCCACGGCACCGCGAGACTCTTCTGTACCAGAAACCAGGCCACCAAAGGCTTCGAAGCGGGGCAAAGCCTTCTCAGTCATTATGGCGGCTTGCTGGGGTGACGCAAGACCAGCCCACATGGCCCAGAAGGTGGTTGCAGTCTCGTATTCCTTGCGCTCCTTCTTCTCAGTGTCGTAGTCGAAGTACATGCCCTTCTCAGCGTTCCAAAGGAGCTTGTCCATGGTCTGCTTGCGCTTGCGGGCACGGCGATCCCAGGCAGCCGAGGATTCGAACTCAATATCCTTAGTCAGAGGAGTGCGGAACTCAACAGGGATCGCCAGCTTGTCATTGAAGTGAACACGGATGATGCGGGCGATATCAACCTCGTACTTGTACAGCAAAGAGTTGAGATCGACTGTAGCGAGATTGGCGCATACGCCCTCGAGACGGTAGCTAGTGTCGTGACCAGACTCACGAACACCCCGATCGTGCATGAAGTAGTCATCGAGCTCAGGCTCGACAATGGCTCGAGTGTTGTATGCTCTGACGAACTGTTCAAATGTCATCCCGTGCTTCTCGGCGTACGGGGTGAGAATGTGCACGAAGTGAGAGGGTTCGGTCTCAGGCGGCACACCCCAACCTTCAGGGCGATATCTGGACAGCCCTGTCACTGGGTCAAGACGGGGAGCACAGGCCCACACGCTGTGGTATTCTTTAATGCCAGCCAGAACGGCGTTGCGCAGGAACTCCTTCGAGTCCGGCTCGGTCTTGATTCTCTCATAGACCCGCAGAGCCATATCAGTCAAGAATGGCGGCTGAGAGCGAGTGAGGTAGTAAGAACGGTTTGCGTTGAGGATCTTGCCGTAGTGCTTAATCTCGAAGCAGAAGTTCACAACCATGCCTTTGGCGAGGTCAACGCGATCACTGACAAGCAGTCCCAAGGACTCCATGTAGCTATCCCAGCCATAAAGTTCATTGAAGCGACCACCCGGCACCACAAATGGTACACCGACCATTTCCTCCTTTCCGGTAGCTTCATTCAGCTTCTTCTGCATAGCAAGCGCCAAGAGGCCAGGCTTGTCATTAAGTTGCATAACATAATCAGGCGTGATCGGAGCAGGAAGCAACTGCACATCAAGGCGAAGCTCCGGGTGATCCTTTGCAATCTGAGAGTAGTAGTCAAATTGCTCCGGGGCACCAGGCGGGATGTAGATCCGAGGCCGAGGGTCATCGGTCCAGTCTTTAGGATCCTTGCCCGCAACCTCAATATTGTGACCGTCAATGCGCCTTGTGAGGGCCTTCCAGAAGGAGTTCTTGATTAACCTGGAGAGTCGTGCAACCGGATTCTCGCTCAGACGAGCCTCGTCAAGAATAATGTGCTTCCGACCATAGTCTTTGGCAATTGTAAGCTCCTGTAGAAGGTTGGAAAGCATATATGTGCCTCGCACATCAACTCGATTATATCCAGAGGATGCCGCAGTACCGACCGAGAGTACCTATGAATGAGCCGGAGTTAGCGCTTTGTTCGAGCTCATGGAGGTATCAAACGCACCTTCGGCCCAACATCCTCAATGGTGATTTGCATATTACTATCGGTATCTTCCTGCTTCAGGAGTGACTGGAGGGTTTCCTCCACCTCGATGAGGAATTTCCGAGGCTGTCCTGAGGCCTCGTCTGTACATCCCCATCAGCTTCATTTCTTTGGAATCCAGCACCAAGAAGGAAAAGCATACCATGACTGCCACGTCGTGAAGGCAGAGTTCCCAAGAAATCGCTAATTTCGCCTCGGTTGGCGTCGTTCAAGCCCTATACATCGTAAACGATAAGCTAGCTGTACCTCCGCGGGGTACCGCACAGGCGGTGGCTGCTTACCACCGAGAAAGCACGCCCTCTCGACTTGAACGTCTTAATGTTGTCTTCAGTGCCATAATAGACCTCAGCATTGGAGAAAGGGTCAATGGAGCCAGATCTGGCAGGCCCGTTTGACGAGCTCATGGTCTATGATAGTAGAAAGAGTGGGTGCACAATCCGAAATTCAATTGTGCGTCACGCAAGGGTACCTTGTCCACACCGACTATTTTCCGGGAGTCAGACTGGACGATTCACCCAAGTACTCCGGTACTCGTACAAATGCTGTGATGGGTCTGATGTCCACGGGTGTGAAAGCAATTCCGATCCCGTGATCTTATCGAAAGGGTAAGTGAGACGGTCTCGGTTCAGTAGAAACAGGTGTTCAAGAGGTTTCAAGAGTCAAAGAACCAAAATGGATAGATGAAGATATAACAGGTCGGAAAGTGGGAGAGAACAATGACGCATTCCCAGAATGATGTCGCCGCTCCACTTAAATATTGCCGCCGATAAGCTCGAGATAACACAGAGGCGAAAGGAGGCGAAAAAAAAAGAAAATATAAGTAGCTCGTTCATCAATTTAAATAGAGTGCGCCACCAGGGCATTTCCTTAATTGAGTCAAGTCACAATGAGGTCCAGCCGTCGCCTGGAATGTAAGGGAATCTTTGCCCCGAGCACTGTGGAGGGATAAACCCCACTCAAAACAAGATATACTTGCGACTCGGTAGACGGCCCCATAAAAAAATAGCAATGTACAGTCCGCAGATACAGGGCTCACATTGGAAATAGAGGGCTATTTACAGATATTCTCCAATCGCACTACATGCTCACAGCTTCGCAGCAATGGCACTGCCGCCATCGACCGCGATGGTCGCGCCATTCACATACGCACCAGCACGGCTACTCAAGAACAAGCAAGCGCCGGCGACATCCTGCGGGGTTCCAATACGACCCAGAGGCACACCGGCCTTGATAGTCTCGCCGAATGACTTGAGCGTGGCGGCCATCATTTTACTCTCAAAGGGCCCGCAAGCCAAGGTGTTCGAGCTGCGATCGGATCAGTATTTGGTTGAATACACTCCCAACGAGGTACGACAGAGATACTCACGTAACGTTTCGCTTGCCTAGGTGGTTGGCAAGTACCCGGCTCAGGTGATGCAAGCCGGCCTTGCTGGAACTGTATGCGAATGTCTCGAGGGAGGGAACACGGAGGCCATCGATGCTGCCGATGTTGATGATGCGGGAGGGGTCGTTGGGGGTAGCTGCCTTTTCCAAAAGCGGCGTGACAAGCTGGGTGAGGTCGAAGACACGGTGCAGGTTCAGGGTGAGAACTCGAGTGAAAGCCTCGGAGGGATATTCGTCGTAAGGAGCGCCCCAGTTGGAGCCGGAGTTGTTCACGAGCACGTGCAGCTCTGGAGAGAAAGGTCGTGTTAGCTGGTGATCTTTGCAATTTCCATGGACTGTTGGTTGCAGAACGTACTGCCTTCGCGCTTGCCCAACTCCTCGGCCAGCTTCTTCACATCGTCCAAGCTATAGAAGTTGGCCGGGATGGCATGGGCTTTGCCTTTGCCCAATGCATTGAGCTCCTTGGCTGCTTGCTCACACGCCTTTGCATCTCTGGAAGAAATGTAGACGGTCGCACCGTTTGTGACATAGCCCTCGGAGATCATGCGGCCAATGCCTTTGGCTCCACCGGTGACCAGCACCACTTTGCCCTGCCCGCTGCGTTAGTGCCCGAGTCCATCGCAGGATATACATCTGGGATAGGCTCACCTGAACGTTGAAAAGACTAGCGGAATCCATTATGAGTTTGTGATATGTAGAATTGAAATTAGATCAAGGATCGAAGATATGTACTTCTATTCTGCTTGCTACTCCCCACGCATACCCGAAGACCGAGATTACGACATGGCAAGCCGAGGCTCATTGTCCGGAACATATTTGACCCGCAGTAGATGGACTAAGCCATTTTGGGACATCCAGAGTTCCGCGGGGTGATTGCTGTGTTTGGGCTGTTTTCGTCTGCATATACCAATAATTTTATCTTGTTAATTGGATCCGACTGCTTCCTCTTATAGCTTTCAAAATGGAAGAACTACTGTCAAAGCATCGCAAGGAACAAAAAGATCTTCAAGCGCGCATCACACAACGAAAAAAGTCCGCCACCAAGAAAACTCGCAAGGGTGTTAATGATGAATGCGATCGGATGCAACACGAATTGACCGACAAGCAACAATCCGAGATCGCGCAGCTGAATGGAGATCCGGCGGAAGACCTCGAAAACCTCAGCCTGGAAGATGGCCAACCCTCAGACGAAGACAAACCCTCCGATACGCCCAAAGAACCGAAGCCAGAGCCACAGCCCATCTCCCCCGCAGAACCCACCAACACCAAGAAGCCCAACCGTCAGAAAGCTCGCCTTGCCCGTCGTGCAGCCGAGCAAGCTGCCCAATCGGCTACCGCGGCAGAAGAGGCCGCAACCCAAACAAACTACAGAGGCAACGAGCAAGAGGTCATGGATGCGGTTTTCAAGAGACTTGGCTTGAAGGAAGTGGAAGTTACACCAGATGGCCACTGTCTCTACTCAGCGGTTGCCAAGCAGCTCGACGAGTCCGGACTCGGCCTGAGACCGGACCCGAGCCGCATTGTCCTCCAGTCATCCACACAGTCACGCATTGACACAGTCGCCTCCCCGCAACACGACGGCTACCGAGCTGTCCGCGCCGTCGCGGCGGATTTCATCACAGAACACAAGGAGGACTTTGAGGCGTTCATGGAGGAGCCCTTGGAGTCGTACACGCGGAAGATCAAATTGACAGCCGAGTGGGGAGGACAACTTGAACTCCAGGCCATTGCGCGGGCGTACGGCGTCGAAATCAACGTTGTGCAAAGTGACGGGCGGATGGAAAAGATCGAGTCTGGCGAAACCTTCGACGAGGAAGAAAAGCGCAACCGCGTGATCTGGCTCGCGTACTACCGTCACACCTACGGACTTGGCGAGCATTACAATGCCCTGGTGAAGAAGGCATAAATCCTTCAATTTTGAATAATATCATGTTCCCATTTTCGTCTCGGCTAAAGAGAGAGGCCTGAGTGTGCTATGTTTATTTGATTTGTGTTTTGTCGTGGTTTTCTTTCCCCGGCACTAGTTTCGACGGCGCCAGATTGAAACTCGGTCGTGGATTACCCCATTCTCACCCTGGCCTACTTCGTGAGTGCGCTCTGGCTTCCAGAATGCCACTCTCTCCAGGCCGTTTGCACTGGGCTCCCGGAGAGGCTCGTGTTTGACGACACTCTTGGCATCATAAGGGATTTCCTCGCCGGGATGGCTCAAGTGTGCCATATAAGCCTCCGACGAGGAACCGAATGGTGGGCCTGGAGCTTGGGGATCCTTGTGACGCGGGTACTCGAGACAGATCAAGTTACCCGCCGGGGAGGGAGCCAGGAGCTGGGTGTGTCGAAGTGCCCATTTGGGTCGCAGCGACGGCTCAAGTGCACAGAAGAACTGCACAGATGTCAGCATATGAACAGAGATGATTGTAAACCAACAAAATAAGACATTCCAAGCTCCGGGGAAGCTACCCCGCAGTGGGATGGCAATGCAGCAGAAAAGCAGAACAATGACAATTTATACATACCGTGTTATCATAGACAATATCAAAAGAATTCAAGGACAGGCCAATGCTCTGCAACCAAGCATCATCGAAAAAGTCACCCTGGACCCAAGTGACCTTCCCTGCGCCAACCGATTGGTCCCGTACCCGATACCAATTGGCATTTTCCTTCTCTTCTTTCTTGCATGCCTCAATGGCAGAAGGACTGCACTCGAGTCCATAGGCATCATAACCAAAGCTCGCAAGAAGGAGGACATCCACGCCCCTCCCGCAGCCAGGAACCAGCGCCTTGCGCCGCCCGGCGTCTGTGACGGGAGCACCAATTGTCGGACGTTGGTTGACAAGCGTGTCCTCTAGAGCTGGGTTGGGGAAGCCACGGTCCCACGGGAGCTTGTCACCTTTATCCCAAAGGGAAGACCATCCCTCGACGTATTTGTCGCCCTTATACTGTGACAGGTGGGACTGGACATCCTTTGGGTCGATGGTTTGCACTGGCACGGTCATTGTAGCGTTGGATTGTGGTGACTGGTTGACTTGATGCTGCTGCGATACTTGAGTCGAGATTGAGAAGTCCGTCGAGTTCACCGTCTTTCTTCGGTCATTGCTCCAGTGCCAGGTCCACGGGGGGTCCGAGGCGCTTATTAATCGCCTCCTTGCAGCCCGGTGGGCGTGCAAGCGACCAGTTCGCGGGGCGCGTTTGGATGTCTCGAGGGCTGGTTATGGATCACTGGATATCAGCTTTTATGTAGACGGACATCCATGGATGTTGGCCCAAGTGTCAGATCTTGGGAGTCCGGGGTAAAATGGGCTGCCAAGCTATCAGTTCCAGACTTGGGTCGAATGAGTGGACAGGGCGGCACAAGTCCAAGCTTGGAAGGTTATTGAGACTACCTAGGTACGAATACACAGCCCTTCCAGGGTTATCTCGAAAGATACAATCTGGGAATATGCCAGCTGTCCAGCCCTGGTGTTGACCAGGCCTTGATCCTGACATTCTCAGTCTCGGGAATGGCCCACTCACATTTGCCGACGGAAGAACGGCACCGTCTGGATGCTGAGTGGCCCCCAGTTGCAGAGAATCAAAGTCGGATATTAATCCCATGATAAGGCTAGAATGGCTCGGACGTCGTCGGTGCTTGTCGGTGCTCCGTTTCATTTGGAAAGCTTGGTTTCCGTTTCTGTCAAGTCTCGGTTCGTTTGCGATTTTCGCAGTTTCATCTCTGTGAGAAAGTGAGGACCTCGGTCTTTTGGTCGAAACATTCGGACTTTTCATTTTCACACCCTCTGCCACACTGTGTGCTGGAAACTCTAGAGCTCTATGTCCGCTATCTCTCAAGGGTCATTGCTGTCCACGGGCTTAAAAGTTTCATCTCTTCTCAATAATTGAGGGCTTGAATCAATTGGCTGTCGCGCCCTGTGTTCCTGAAAGCCCAGTCTCACCCCGAGAACAATCGGCCCTGCTTATCGGGAGCGCGAAGTGCGCAAAAGTCCACATCGATGACGAAAGACACGCCCAACATGGATGAAACATCCCACAAAGATCATATTGCTACCTCGGCCTTACCCACCTCATCGGGCAGCGGAGAGCAATCGACCGTCATGGCAGATACCAAGTCGGAAATTGTCAATGATAATCACTCACAAGACACTTCCGGCGTGCATGATGATGAAGGCGCCGATAATGACCCAGAAGCAAACGCTACTCGTTTGGAGCGCCAGTCGACAGAAATCGGGCCCGCAATCAAGGTATCGCGCACGAAGCGCAGGGGATTGTTCGGGCAGCTGGCATTGGTAGCGGAGGTTGAGAACCCCAAGACTTATCCCCGCAGGATGAAATGGTTCATCACATTCATCGTCGCTCTGGCGGGGTCCACGGCCCCAATGGGTAGCTCGATCTTCTTCCGTGAGTCTCGATTCAATCATTGGCAGGAAGGTCACATCTAATCAATCTTTCAGCCTCATTATCCCAAGTCTCGAAGGAGCTGAATACGACGACCACGATCGCTAATCTGTCGATTGCGTTGTACATGCTGGCCATGTCTATCTTCCCACTTTGGTGGTCGTCATTTAGCGAACGACTTGGACGCCGAACCATTTACTTGGCTTCTTTTGCTCTCTTCGTCATTTTTAATTGTCTATGTGCCGTCTCGAGCTCCATCGGGATGCTGATTGTGATGCGAATGTTGAGCGGCGGTGCTTCTGCGTCAGTGCAGGCAGTTGGTGCTGGCACCATTGCCGATCTCTGGGAGTCGAGGGAGAGAGGACGCGCCATGGGAATCTTCTATCTAGGTCCATTGTGTGGGCCCTTATTCGCACCAATTATCGGTGGCGTTTTGGCGCAGCGCTGGGGATGGCGAAGTACCATGTGGTTCCTGGCGGGTTTCGGTGCTCTCACACTGATCTTCATCCTGGTTGCACTTCCTGAAACCTTGCTTGCGCAAAAGCCTGTGTTTTCCGAGATTGACGAAGATGACATTGGTGACAGCCGTCGACTAAGTCGTGTATCTTCGCGGCAAGTTGCGCGGTCTACCACGAGGTGGCTGAAGACATTGAAGATGGTGTTTATTGACCCTCTCAAAATCATTCTCTATCTCCGATTCCTTCCCGTCCTTCTCAGCGTCTACTACGCTAGTATAGCGTTTGGCTCACTTTATGTTCTCAATGTCAGTGTTGAAGAGACGTTCGGAAATGAGCCGTACAATTTCTCAACCATTATCGTCGGTCTACTCTATATCCCAAACTCGATGGGCTATGTGGCCGCCAGTCTATTCGGTGGCAAATGGATGGATAGCATCATGCAACGTGAGGCGAGAAAGGCAAATCGGTTCGACGAGAAAGGCAGATTGATTCTACGCCCAGAGGACCGAATGCGTGAAAACGCCTGGCTTGGTGCCTTCTTGTACCCAGCTGCACTTATCTGGTATGGCTGGGCCTCTGAAAAGGGTGTCTTCTGGCTAGTCCCGGTACGTACATGCACACTGCTACACCCTGGAAACCTTACTAACTTTCACCTAATAGATGATCGCCAACTTTTTCTTTGGCGTGGGATCCATGCTCATCTTTAGTATGGTAACTACCATGCTGACAGAGTTCATGCCGAAGAAGTCCTCCGAGGGTGTAGCCCTGAACAACTTCATGCGAAACATCTTCTCTTGCATTGGCTGTGTGGTGACTGCTCCTATCATTAGCGGAATTGGGAATGGATGGCTGTTCACTATCCTTGGTTTGGTCAGCTTCACGAGCAGCTCTGTGATATTCTTCATGAGGGTTTACGGACCTAAATGGAGGAAGACCATGGATGCAAATATGCATGCCTAAACCATATTGCAATCAACGGGACTCCAATTGCTGCATTTGGAGCGTCATTCCACTCTACGTTCGACGAGGCCCCTCCAGCTTGACTCATGAGGTCTCCATCGTCAAAGATCCTCCTCTCAAGTTGATATGTTCACCACGATAACGACTATATGCATACGCTCATACCCCTGTATCTGATCTTTGATCTTTGTTTCTTTGGCTCACTCTCCTGTCGTTTGGCTTTGGGGACTGAGTCCGGCTATATATACAAGGCTCAACCAGCCATATAATTCAACACGGTACCTTTTCCAAACGTCTGCTTCCATGCCTAGGTACCCTGCAATTAATCTCCAACCTCAGGGCTTGATAAGATTCAGACTCTTCAATGGCATCAAACCTTCCAACCTTGAAGTTGGAAGCATCTGTAGCCCTACTAGGTAGAGTGCCCAGTGGGCTGCCGTACCCAGGTATGGACCTCGGGATCCCACTGTCTAGAAATACCACAGGCCCGAGAATCTCCGAGCTGAGAGGCATTGTGGCCGGTATTTTCAAGGTTGCTTATGGCCCCTGTTCACCTATATTGGCCTATATTGCGATTGCCAGATTTCCCGAGATAAACCTAATACTCAAATCAGGCCATCAAAAAGATCAATGCAACCAGCTACCTACCATGTTGCCACTGGTAAGCACTAAGGCACCGAAAAGAGTTGATCACTGGCATGTACCTGTAGGTATCTCAGGACACGGAGCGATGTAACTTGCAAAGCCATTAATGCTCGAGGTTCCATATTATAGCAGGGTATACTATCCAACCAATTCCAGTAGCTCGTTCAAGCGAGATTGCCATTTTGATTTTTATTGCACAAACAACCGACCAAAGTACCAGTAGTACGAGTCATTTGCGGAGAAACGAGTTCAAGGCAAAATATGCATGCCGATCAGGCTTTACGTTTCCATCGAGGTTCCCGACTTTGCCATATCGAGGGTCTAATGGCCATCTATATATCTGGTGCCATGCATATGATTCTTCAATCTTTCTACCCCCTACTTCGCCAATTGCACCAATGATTGCTACTCAAAGTAGGAAGAGAAACAATCTGTAGAGTGTACACCTCATTCTGTGGCGCGCGAGTATGTACTTATTACGCTTCGCCGATGGAGATGTGGTCGGAGATCGCGATTCTAGGTCTCAATTGACGGTCGGGAATTGACAACAGACAAAATTGGAGAAATTCTCCAATTTACATAGATCTCAATTACAGCGACGGGCCTGATGAAGCAGCTAAAAGTCGCTAACTTTGGAGATTCCATGCTGAAGTTTGGGCACAGTGATTGATGCCTCGGGGGCTTTCCCGTTTGTTGCTCGCAGATTCATCACAGATAATTCTTAAAATTTCAAATTAGTTTTGCTCAATGCTTGCAGAGCCCATCAATTGCTGTACCAGTTACTACTACTCTGTACAGAATTACCCACAAAGGTAATTGATGCCCACGGCCCCGGGGGTTGTGAGCTAGATTATCCAGCCCGGAAAGCGCCCCCGAAGTCCGCACTCACGAGTATGCGACCGTAGAGGCTTGGTCGGAAGCAATTGAAACTGAGATATCAATTGAACAGAGACAAGATTCATGACAGGATTTCCTCAACACTCTGCTTCTGAGAATACCCCGAGTATGACGTCCCAACACATGGAACCATCGATAGCTGGCTATGCAAGGGTCAATCATTGTTGGAATTTTATCGCAGTGTAAGGGTCGTCTACGCCGTGATCGGAGAGCAGATTACAGTAAATCAAAGTTGGGATGCACGAAATTCCGAATATGCACAGAAAAGCAGGGCAGCCAATCATGGCATGGTAGTGCCATGATTTTCGCTAGCCGACGCTTCGAGCGAACATTCGATACATGTTTTGGGGAGGAGATGATCGAAATGGAGGGGTTGATGCGCTAGCGAGGCATTATTCCGTTCTCTTCTATCCCGCGGAAGGGCCTGAGTGTTCCGATGCCGACGGAGTGCTGCCCAGGTTACTTGTCCACTTGCTACTTCATTAGTTCTGGTCTTAAAGATTGGACACAGATCTACAGAGTGGTTCTTTCGAGATGTGTCTGCTGATCGACAAAGATGTTGTCAATCAGCAGTCATCAAACAGCTGGCAGCAGCATCGTTTCTGCCCATCTACAAACATGTAGGACACAGAGAGTATGGGGTAGATTGTACATTCATCGCCATGAGCAAGATCCACGATCACGAATGGTGGCCCAATTCCGAAAATAGCATCGAATGCGCTATTTCGATCTAAGGGTGGAATGAGTTTATCTCGAGGGCAACCATTCGCCGTCTTCAGGCGACACAGACAGAGCATGGATGCTCGGCCCGCTGCAGTAAGCTGGGTATGGAGGCAAATGATTTGGCAATTTAATCCAGGGCGTGTATCAAGTACAGCCCGACAGATCTGAAAGACTTTACAAGAAGCAGCATTGAGTTGGCCCGAAGACGCTTCGTCTGGGCATGCAGGTCGCTGCTTTTGAAACCGAGTGTTGGTTTGGCAACTCACGTACTCCGTACTTTGTCGGTGCAGGAGGGCATACGTACGCATAGCAGTACTGTACACGTTTTTGGGCACTTGAAGGTGATTGAACGCATTGCATGTGCGGTCAAACAAAGGGGGAAGGGTCTAGTGACGAAATTGTACATTCTCGCATTCAGAGTTGGCAGGGAACATATCCATCGAATACTGGGGACCTAATGGCGGACAGCGTGTAGGGTCCGGAGTGGCTGGGTTCGACGCGAAGATCGCACGGCGATCTGTACAGGCTGTACGGAGTACGGAGCACGGAGCACAGATTGAATTGGAAGTCGAGAATAGCCACGAATCAGGAAGAAGCGAAGCGCAAACGACGTCCAGCGCGGATTCAGTATCACCTGACCGTGAGACTCGTGTCCCGCCTCTGTGATCGTACCTATTATGCTCCCAATCACTGCATATCTACATCACCATCTGAACTGCTCCCTTACGTGTTACTCGAAAAGAGTGGCACAGGTCAATATTCTGAAGTGTCGGTGTCGGTGTCGGTGTCCAGAGTGGAGAATCAGTGAATACCCACGACCCCATTGACTCCATCCACCCCCGTTTCGCCTTTCCGATTTGACTCATAACAACGGGACAACGGTATGAGGCCGAAATTTGAAGGCAAAAATGGAAGGAAATTGCTATTGCCACACGTCTTTGCGTTGAGCTAGTCCACACGGTGAAAGGCTTGCAGTTGCCGCTGCTGCCGGACGTTGGGCAGAAATTTGGCGCGCATCACTCACCCCTACACTCCCCTACCAATTCCTCTCTACAGTACGGTCTGAGACACTGACTTCGTGGCTTTGTGTGCCATTGTCTCTACGCCCAATTCCCGCCTCCAGTAACCGTACATCCCTCAGCGTTAGACACACACAAAGACCAAATTCAATTCTTTCGGTGGCACCCCCCCACTTCAACAGACCCAATTGCTCCATCTGGCTGCAGCACTGCCTTTCCTATCTTGACCGATGTGCTCTCCGATCTCCAATCCCCTCTCACAATGGCTCCTTGGTCCTGCAGCTATTCCTGCGGGTGGGGATCGTACTGTTCTCACCCGGCCCTAACTCAGCACCGGGCCTTACTAACCTTCATGTCGTCGAAGATGGAGACCCGAGGTTCAACGTGGCCCAATGACAACGGGCATCATCGGGCAGTTCATTGATGACGTTCAGGGCCCAAGACCGTACTGCAGTTTGTTGTCGTCCCATCCGACCGGGTAGGGGACGAACTATTATACGCTGCCTCACCATGACTGTCCAATGCGGCGTCTGTGTGTCACCAGAGAAACAAGCATATCCTTCTTTTCCCTTTTGGTCCTCTAATACAGGAGTACCCTGCCCAGTCTCACTCTCTCCTCATTTCTCCATCTTTTGTATATTTTTGTACCTTTTGTTCCTTTTTTTCGAGCCGCCCCGTCTCTCCCGTGCAGCGAGCCCGACAACCGGCTTGTCACTTTCCTATTGTTCCGTTCCCATCACGCGCCAGTCAGCTCCTGGCGATATCTGATACGTCATTGAAATATTATGGCTGGTAAGAAAGGGAATAAGAAGAATAAGAAGAACGCTGCCAACCGCCCACCCGTTGGTTCTGCACCCCCTGATACCGAGAAACAAGACCTCGTCGACAACCCTGCCCCCGACTCGGCGGCAGCTGCTGTTGAGGATGTCCTACAAGTATGCAGATCTCTCCGAATTCACCTACCACCAGCCCGTCACCAGTCAATACCAGACATACAATTATGAAACATCTTCTTTTCAATTCTACCCCATTACCTATTCCCAAACCGATCTGACCGAGGGCCAAAATCAGGACAACAAAGAGCCCGCTGCCGACCCGGAAAAGGCCCCAGACTCTGAAGAAGCCCCTGTAGCGGAGCCAAGTGCTACGCCAGATGATGCTCCAGCTGCTGAATCAACAGGTAAGTATATATGGACCTCTACTTGCAACGAGATTGATCGTTGGAGCTCTCTATAAAACTTTGAGTCAGCGCTTAACATGTTACTACAGATCCAGAGGCTGCGCCACCAGCCGAAGCTGCACCCGAAGGGGATGCTCCTAAAGAGGATGCTCCCGCAGAGGAATCTAAAGGGGAAGCAGCCACAGAGGCAGAAAACCCCGAAGCTCCATCAGAACCTGCTGCAGAAGACCAGAAGCCTTCAGACGAGGCAGCGCCCGAAGGGGAAGCAAAATCTGAGGAGCCCAAGTCTGAAGATGGCGCAAAGCCCGACGAAGAGGCAAAACCCGATGAAGAGGTAAAGCCTGAAGAAGAGGCAAAGCCTGAAGAAGAGGCAAAGCCTGAAGGTGCCGAAGAGGCACCACCTGCTGGTGAGGACGCCAAGAAGGAGGGCGTTAGTGGCAATGATGGTAAGTAAACGCATACTAACAAGATAACCCTCCCCTAACAGTTTTGATAGATGACGACTTTCCAGAATGCACTCCAGAAGAGGACGCCGAAAAGGTAGCGGCCGAGAAGGAGGCAGCTGCCAAAGAGGCAGCTGAGGAAGCTCAGCAAGACGGCGGTGATAGCGCTCCTGCAGAAGCACCTTCAGAACCAGCACCCGAAGCCCAGCCAGAGCCAGAACCAGAACCTGCAGCAGAGAAGTCATCATCAAAGAAGAAGAAAGATAAGAAAAAGAAGGGTAAGAAGGGCAAGGCCGCCGACCCAGAGCCAGAGCCAGAGCCAGAGCCCACACCGGAACCCGCAGCAGAACCCGAACCAGCGCCAGAAGCGGCCGAATCTGCACCAGAGGCCGAACCTGCACCAGAGGCTGAGGCTGCACCAGAGGCTGAGGCTGCACCAGAGGCTGAGGCTGCACCAGAAGCTGCCGAACCTGCGCCAGAAGCGGCCGAACCTGCGCCAGAAGCGGCCGAACCTGCGCCAGAAGCGGCCGAACCTGCACCAGAGGCCGAACCTGCACCAGAGGCCGAACCTGCACCAGAGGCCGAACCTGCACCAGAGGCCGAACCTGCACCAGAAGCGGCCGAACCTGCAGCGGACCCTGAACCAGAAGCAGCTCCAGCGGCCGAGGCTGAAAAGCCCGCCGATGAGACACCTGCCGCCCCCTCAGAAGAACCTACAGAGCCTGCAGCAGATCCAGAGCCTGAAGCGGCAGCACCAGCGGAGCCTGAGCCTGAGAAGCCCGAGGAAACCCCAGAACCCGCGCCTGTTGAGGAGCCAGCCCCAGCTCCAGTAGAGGAGCCATCCGGAGGCAAGAAGAAGAAGAAGAAGGGCAAAAAGGGCAAGGCGGCGGCGGCAGCAGCGGCGGAACCTGAGCCTGCACCAGAACCTGCACCAGAACCTGCCGCTGAGCCTGAGCCAGCCGCCGAGCCAGCTGCTGAGCCTGAAGCAGCTCCTGAACCTGCCGCTGAGGCAGAACCCGCCCCTGCACCAGAGGAGGATAAGATTGCCGAGGAGCCCGCTGCCGAGGCGCCTGTTGAGGAGAGTAAACCAACAGAGCCTGAACCGGAAGCTCCAGCCGAGGCGGCTGCTGTAGAACCTGAAGCTGAGAAGGCCCCCGAAGAGCCTGCTGCCCCAGAGGCTGAAACTGCCACCGAAGCTGCACCCGAGCCTACTCCAGAGCCCGCTGCTGAGCCCGCTGCCGAACCTGCCCCAGAGCCAGCATCAGAGCCAGCTGCAGAGCCCGAGCCTACTCCCGAACCTGCTGCAGAGCCGGAACCTGCTGCTGAGCCCGCTGCCGAGCCTGCCCCAGAGCCTGCTGCTGAACCAGCTGCTGAACCAGCTGCTGAGCCTGCAGCCGAACCTGAACCCGCCCCTGAGCCAGCTGCTGAGCCCGCCGCCGAGCCCACCCCTGAACCTGCTGCAGAGCCAGCTGCAGAGCCAGCTGCCGAACCTGAACCCGCTCCTGAACCAGCACCAGAGCCAGCTGCTGAACCTGAGCCCGCCCCTGAACCTGCTGCTGAACCCGCTCCTGAGCCTGCTGCCGAGCCTGCTGCCGAGCCTGAGCCCGCCCCAGAGCCAGCACCAGAGCCTGCTGCCGAGCCCGAACCCGCTCCTGAACCAGCACCAGAGCCAGCTGCTGAACCTGAGCCCGCCCCTGAACCTGCTGCTGAACCCGCTGCTGAACCCGCTCCTGAGCCAGCCGCCGAGCCTGAGCCCGCCCCAGAGCCAGCACCAGAGCCTGCTGCCGAGCCCGAACCAGCTCCTGAACCAGCTCCGGAACCTGCCGCAGAGCCTGAGCCTGCCCCTGAGCCTGCTGCTGAGCCGGAACCTGCTCCTGAACCAGCACCAGAGCCAGCTGCCGAGCCCGCCGCCGAACCTGAACCGGCTGCTGAACCTGCTCCGGAACCTGCCGCTGAGCCCGAGCCCGCCCCTGAGCCAGCACCAGAGCCCGCTGCCGAGCCCGAACCTGCTCCGGAACCTGTCGCTGAGCCCGAGCCCGCCCCTGAGCCAGCAGCAGAGCCCGCTGCCGAGCCCGAACCTGCTCCGGAACCTGCCGCAGAGCCTGAGCCCGCCCCTGAGCCAGCAGCAGAGCCCGCTGCCGAGCCCGAACCTGCTCCGGAACCTGCCGCCGAACCTGAGCCCACCCCTGAGCCAGAGGCTGCAAGAGACCTTCCCGCTGAGCCCGAAGCTTCTCCTGAGCCAGCTCCTGTCAGCGACGAAGTAGCGCCTGATGAGACTGTTCCAGCAGAACCCGAGCCCGAAGTGGAGGTTGTTGGCGCCGTACCTGTTGCCGAAGGATCTCCCGAGGATGATGCCGCTCGACGTGCCCGACGTCGTAAGAGACGTAGTCCAGTTGAGCGCGAGCGTCCAATCGAGCGTGAACGCCGACACTCGAAGACATCATCCGAGGGACGTCGCGACGGGCTTGAGCGTCAGAAGAGCGAGCGCAGTGTTCTCACTATGCGATGGACGAAGGCGCTCGAAGAAGCGCGACGTCAACACGACGCCAAATCGCAAAGGGACAGAAGAGAACGTGCTCTCATTGAAGAACGCGAGCGCAGCGGAATTCCCCCCTCCGAGAAGCCCAGCCGCTCAAAGAGCTCGGCTAAGGAGAGAGAGATCTCGCGAGAACTCGAGGCTGGTACCATTCCTATGGAACCCAGGTCTAGACGTCGCGATTCTGAGACACCAAGTCAACCTATTGAGCGCCAGCGCTCGACTAGGACTTCCTCAGCGAAGCAGGTGTCGTCTTCTGCGCCAACGGGCAAGCCTCGTGCTTTCCTGCGCTACATGACGGAGGGCGAGTCGGACAACAAGGGACACCCTCTGTATATCAACGCCACCAAGGCTTCTCCGCCTGTCGAAAGGCCTCGCCGCACTTCGACCAGTCATAGCACTGGTAGTGGCAGTCGCCATGAGCGTGCTGATCATGAGGACGGACACTCGGTCGGTCGGTCGAGTGGGTCTACTTCGCGTCGCGAAGCCCGCCGTGAGGCGCGCAGGGATGAACGTCGCCATGAGGAACCTCGTCTTGAGCGTACAGATACCCGGAGGTCGCATCGCTCCAACGCCGAGCATGGCCGGTCCCGCGAGAAGGAGAAGGAGAAGGAGCGGGAACGTTCTCGCTCGCGCTCCCGTGCCCGTGAGCGGGATCTCGAACGCGAAGAGAAAGAGCGAGAGCGCGAGAGAAGACACGAAGGTTCTTCTCGGCGGTCTAAGGACTCGAGGGAGGTTCGATCTCACCGTCGCCACAGACGTGAAGAGTCGCCGCCTCCGAGAGAGTCCAAGATCAAGAGTATCTGGAGGGCCATTGCTGCCCACTAAGTCTGCATTGGTGCATTTTTAGGGCTTTTTTCTTTCGTTTCTGAACTCTCACTTTCGACCTTGTCTTTTACTTTTGAGGGTGGTTTGTGGTTTCGACAGAATGATCTATATGATATGTATGTTTGATGAATTGCATGTGAAGCGAATCATTGCAGGAGTACTTTGACTTCGTTGTTTATTACTAGAATTGATTGAGCTTCCAAGACAAGGCTTGGAATTTTCTCCAGCACATACCATTTGTTCCAATGTAGCTTTTCCATTGTGTTTTGTAGATGTTTGTTTGTGTATAGTCTTAGCATTCCAAAGTTGCTAGTCATATATTGGACGTCGCATGCAATCATCAAGACATCCAAAGGTCATGAAGGTCATATACAAATCCAAATCAGGGAGTCTCGTTCCTCGCTGGAATTACCCTTGAGCACCAGCCACACCAAGCGCGGTGCAGGCCCTCTTCTTCACGAACGAGATAGTTGCCCGTTTCCCTCTCATCCTCATACTCAACAACGCAAGCCCCAACATTAACTCTCTTCTTAGACTTGTGCTTCACAACGCCCCCAAGTCCAATAACCTCCTGCCGGAAATATCCCGGCTGGTCTTCATCATGTCCATCAATCGGACTACCATTCTCATGGTAGTATGGTGGATGTTCCGCAGGACTTCCAGACCTGCTGCTATCACTGCTAGACCCCTCATCGGCCTCGCAATCGACCTCGAGCTCGATTTCCTGAGAGGCGAGACAACTCTCGCCTCGTCCGCACTTGACGCCCTGGCAGCCCTCACCAATACCAGTGCCCACACCCCCCAGGTACGTACTGTATCGCGTCCGCCAAGCCCAGACTCGACGGTATGTCGTGTCATTGCTGCGCAGGGTCTGCCCGCATTGCGTGCACAACCAAACCGCCTCTTCGCAGTTGCACGGGGTACGCGCAAAGGCTAGAGCGGCCACGCTGTTTTCGTCCCACGGGCCAGAGTGTGGGTCGGAGTTGCGGGCGAGGTGAGCGGCGAGCGGCGCGGTGCCGCACGGTCGACAGAGGCGACGGATGCGACCTTTGAGGGCGTGTCTGTTGGGAGGCTTGACTGTGCAATTCTGGGGGTATTGTTAGCGCCGAAGATGGCGATTTGGGGGTCTACTCACTCTGCAGACAACCTTGGCGCAACGACGACATTCGCCCACCATGTCGCGTGCGCACTTGCCCACTTTGCCGCGAGTCATGCGGCCTGGATCGCCGGTCCCGCGACTGATGAGCTGAATGACGGACTTGACGCTGTCAGGGATGACAGCACCGTCGTGTAGCATCTCTGCTAGGGTTTCGATGTATTCATTCTCGCACCGGAGCGTCTGTCTCACTAGCTGGTGGCGATATGGGGCCAGGTTCGCGTGAAACTGGCGACATACACTCGATAGAGCATGGAGGGTAGTCAGGTCAACGGCTCGAGTGATTTCCTTGATGATGCTATATGAATGTTGACGCTGGTTAGTCGAACGTCCCCGCTCATACCCCGCAGGTTCCGAACACATACGGATAACAACTCAAAGCCGCTGAAAACCCATTCTGGTTGGTTTTCTGAAGCTGAGCTTCTTCAGACCAGGCTGGAGATGGAGGCAATTCGGCGAAGGCCGAAATGGGGTCGACCTTCAGCTCGAAGGGATTCTCCAAAGATGGAGCTGCATCATCAAGGTCGACAAACACCACCATGCTGCTCCATCAGAGGCTTTCTGAGATCAGCATTTGATCAGATAAGATGGGGCTTTTATAGTCCACCTTTCCCCTGGGAAGTGAATGTTTGGTTCTGGGAGTGGGATGATGGCGGACAGGTTCCCTCCGTCGAGGGCGGTGAGCTCGTTGTTTTCGACGCGAGGCTCTACAGTATATTCGGTCCTGAGAACATCTCTTATATCTACTTCCATCTTATGCGTCATTTAATCAGTACTTCCACCTACGGAGTGCATACTCCGTAGTACAGTATATTACCCCTCCACTCCAGGGCTAGCCTCGGCCAATGCCTCCGATAAGCGATAGTCTCCAACTGTCCCCAATATCAAACGGCGGGGTTTCCCGAAATGTGTGGGGGTTCCTTATAAAGGCCTGGTAGCCCGCAGCGGGAGATTTGCTTTCCTTCATATCCAAAATGCCTCTCAATGCCAAAGCTGTATACACCCGGGGAGATGCGGACTATGTCCCATTCGCCAGTCGACGGAGCACCGTCCACAGTACGAAAGGCATTGTCTCATGCACCCAACCGCTAGCCGCAGCTGCGGGTCACCGGATTCTGAGCCAGGGCGGAAACGCAGCGGTACGCGTATCAACCTATGACTGTCGTATCCCAAGCTGATCATTATTCAGGATGCCGCCGTTGCCGTGGGTAAGCCTGAATGGTCTCGGCAGATTGTAGCCCAGATAATCAACTAATCAAATGCTGCAGCTGCCGGTCTGAATATGACAGAGCCATGTTCCACCGGCATTGGAGGTGACATGTTCTGTCTATTCTACAACGCCAAGACGAAGAAGGTACATGCGCTCAATGGTTCTGGCCGGTATCCCGGCAGTGCCAGTCTGGAGAAGATCCGCAAGGACCTGGGCCTGGCCCCTGGCGCACCAGGTAAGATGCCTATGATGAATGCTCTGTCTGCCACAACGCCCGGAGCCGCTGCCGGGTGGGTAGACACGGTAGAAAAGTTCGGTAGCGGGAAACTGTCGCTGGAGCAGATCTTGCAGCCTGCGATCGAGCTCGGCGAGCAAGGTTTCCCCGTGTCGGAGCTTTCATCCCATGGAGTAAGCATCTCTAACATGCTCATTTTATGATCTGAGCTGATGAAGAAACAGTGGCACAAAGCTGAGAAAGATATCCGTAATGCATCTCCCAACTTCCGTGAAATGCTTAAGGTCGATCCTACAGCCACGGATGGCGTGCGACCTCCGTGTCCCGGTGAAATCATGAAGAACCCCACACTAGCCAAGACCTTCCGTGCACTGGCTGCAGAGGGGAAGAAGGGGTTCTACCAGGGCCGCATTGCCGAGGCAATCGTCAAAGTCATCCAGGATCAGGGTGGCTACATGACACCTGAAGATCTTGCGTATCACGCTGAGATTGGAACCCAGGAGGTCGATGCGATCTCGCTCAAGTTCACCGGGCAGGACATCGTGTCCAAGGCCACTCCAGGTACAGACGGGGATGCCAACCAAGGCGTCGAGATCTGGGAACACCCACCGAATGGACAGGGCATTGTGGCACTGATGGCTCTCGGCATTATGGAAGAACTTGAGAAGTCCAACAAGATTCCCAAGTTCACCCAAGCCCAACATAACTCTGCAGAATACCTGCACGCCGTCATTGAAAGTCTGCGCATCGCTTTCGCCGACGCAGCATGGTGGGTCACAGACCCGGATGTCGAGAGCGTACCATCGCAAGGTCTACTAGACCCCAAGTATCTCGCTGAGCGGGCGAAACTCTTCATCCCGGATCGCGCAGCAGATATCATGGATCATGGCAGTCCCGCGCACAACCACTGCGACACGGTATACTTCGCAGTAACGGATAGTGAAGGTAACGGCATCTCTTTCATCAACAGCAACTATGACGGGTTTGGAACCGCCATCATCCCCGCCGGCTGTGGCTTCACGCTGCAGAATCGTGGAGCCAACTTCTCTCTGCAAGAAGGTCACCCCAACGCTCTGGCACCACACAAGCGGCCCTATCACACCATCATCCCTGCTTTGATCACCAATATCTCGGATGGCTCATTGCACTCCGTGTACGGTGTCATGGGTGGCTTCATGCAGCCGCAGGGCCATGTGCAGGTCATGCTCAACATGCTGGCCTTTGGCTACCACCCACAAGCAGCGCTTGACTCGCCACGCTTCTGTCTCGCCGCACCGACAGATGAGAGTACAGATCGGACAGTTTGGGTCGAAGAAGGTATCAGTGATGCTGCTATTGAAGGACTCCGTCGTCTTGGTCACAAGGTGGAGGTTTTGACCAATTGGAAGCGAGCAATGTTTGGTCGTGGGCAGATTATCCGCGCGTACCATGATGAAGGTCAACTCGTCTATGCTGCTGGCAGTGATCTGCGGGGCGATGGAATGGCCTTCCCGTCATTATAGGCACTACTACGGAGTACAGCGGGCGTACCCATCAAGCCTATGCTACCTTTACCGAGGCATCCTAGCTGCGTAATCGACTGATATCTCAGTCAATTGGAGCCCAGCCCTATCTACACTATTCACCAAATGTCTCAATGAAGTCTTTCAAGTGCAGGTCCCCAAAAATTGCGGTCGGGATATCCGATGACGACGCAGACAGCAAAAATGAGGTGAAACGTAGACATATGATCTTCCCACGGAGTACTCCGTGCCCGAGCGCCGTAAAGAGAGAGACAAGATGAGCATCGGGAGCTCCGGGTCGCATCCGTGTCCGACAAAGGAAAGGCCTGCCACAAAAAGAAGGCTCCAGGAAGCAATAGACTCGAAGAGCTCTACTAGTCCGGAACACAGAGTAGTCCGTAGTCCCGAGGTCCGTACTCCATGTCATGTCAGAAATAAGCCCGACGACCTATCACGCAGATCTGATTTCACGGAAATGCCATCTTCAGGGGGTCGGATAATCGTCGGAAGGTTCATGTCAAAGTACGAACTTCCCCGTGCCAGAACGAGTTTAATTGGGATGCAAGACGCAGGAGACAAATCCCAACAAGAGAGAAAATAAGACAAAAATGCACATCATCGCCCAAGCAGGCAGGTCTGAACGAAGGCCTGAGGCCTTGAAGAGCCGCGTGACTCCCATGTCAACCCCTGATCGACAATGCCAAGTTGATCCACCGCAGAGGTCGATGATGGATAACGTTTCGAAGGAAATTTGAGACCCTGTAGAGATTTCGTCCTGGATCCAGTAGTGATTCGTAGATCTGGATCCGGACCTGCGGTATCTCTCCGAGCTTCACCTCTGGTGCTTATGTTCCCCCCGTTCGGGACGAGCGTGACCCATAATCTCGCGAGTCAGCTAATCCAGCTTCGACATTGCTATGGAGTAATTTCGACGTCGAGTCTAGGAAGTCCTGGGAAGTGGGGCCTGAGACGTCCGTATACCGCATGAAGCGTAGTGTCGGAGCGTGGTCTGTGTTGCTCACGTTCGTTAGGGCCCAGGTCAATGTTCATCGGATCTGCCTGAGGCCTAGAACGACGGAATTTACGCGGGCACCTCCAGGGCTGAGATATAACAAAACAAAGGAATGGGCTAAACGGCTGAAATTGCCTGGCGTAAATGACAAATGTTAGATGCCCACCGAACCATGGGTGGGAAATTGGTTCCCCGGAAGATTGTCGCCCAACCGTGGTCGAGTGCGCCCTACAAGGAATTCGAAGATCTTTGGTAAAGTTTGCTTGAATTGAATAGGGGGGTATAGACAGTAAAAGAGTATAGAGACAATCATAATCGTGTCGTGAAACAAAAGAGACGAAAACATAGAAAAATAAAGCAAATCGCAAAGGGGAATCATATAGTCCCCTAGGTCTACTCTAGAGTACAGAGTACTCCGTTCGGAGTACATTGCGACAGATCTCGGGAGAAAGCTCGTCCCCCTTTTCTTGTGGTCAGGCGTGGAGTGGATCCTCCAGCTGATTCGCGTCTCGGGGCGCAGTGGGACCGTATTGCCTTTCTACCAATGAAGGCGAAGACTTTCCAACCATCATTGGGGACGAGACTACGGAGTAGTCCGTATGCTCTTAGACACCGGTGTCGGGAGACATTTGGGGTAACTGTCCGCGCTTTCCGTCCGGACCCACCCTTTGGATGGTGACTCTAGTCACTCCGGTTCGGGCCCGGCGTGCATTCTCGGGGGCGCGCTCCTAGTCGCTTGTGGTCGTGAAGTCATAATATTTGGCCGCCTATTCTGCGGCCTGATCCATGGGCACTTCACATGCCCCAGGCGGAGTGGAAGTGGGGCATGGTTGGAACGTGATCCTCGTAGGGGAGACATTCAGAGTTGGACCATGATGGAGAAGGGTAGTGACACTGGTCGGGCTGGTGACTGGTTAGAAACTCGTCCTTGATTGGTCAAAAGGGGATTGACTTACGGGTTGGATCAGATTCTCTCCCATGGACATGGGAACCAGGTGGGATGGGGGCATGCCGGTGTCAGGGTCCCAGCGGAGGAGTGCGGGAGCTTGGAGAGGCGATGTGTGGATATCACTCTTGAACATGGTTTTGGAGTAGTGGTCCATGATGGACGTAGAGGTGGAGGACATGGAGCCGGAGTGGGAAGGGCGGGAGAAAGTGGTATCGGACAGAGGTGATGGGCAGGTCTCTGCGGGGGAGGAGTAGAATGGGCTGTCGTCCGCAGCTTCGGAAAGGTGGTTGTGGAATGTTGGTCGGGGCTGCAAAGGCAAGTCGACGCCGCTCCACATCAAAGAGCAGTCGTTTACCAGATCTGGGTGAATTCCCGGTGCCACGACAGAGCCAATAGACATAGTGTTTGGTTGAGGGGCCGCGGTCAATGACAGTCCATTGCCCATTGCCATGCAGCGCGGGATAGCGGATTCGGGGAGCATGGGTTCTTGTTTGGGTGCCCACGAGGGCTGTTCTGTTTGCGACTCAAGCTCGCTGGTAGTGTTGTCAGTATGCGCCGAGGTAATAAAGCGTTGCCGTGGTGCTCACTGTCTCTCGATGTGGCGCGCAAGTAGATCCGTGCGGTGGAAGGTTTTCTTGCATCCTGGCTGTGTACAGCGATACGAAGCCTCGGGGTTGTGGTTCAATTCATGGCGTCTCTTGTGCTCGGCTCTGGTGAAGACCTGCGATAAAGTCAATTTGACTGATTCCGGAAGTAATGTGCTGGAATTGCGCCGACCTTTCCACAGCCGTCATGCTGGCAAGCATGTACGCGCTTGCCCTTCTTTGCTTTACTGATGCGGTGGGTGGTCGGAGTATAGGTGACGGGCATGTTGTCCTCCTGGGGACTTGAGCGCATGTTCTTTCGGCCCATGTTGGAGTCTGAAGAAAGCTGTTGAGGTTCTGGTGAAGACGACGGCGAAAGAGAAGAGGCAGAAGGCGAGTTCAAGACCGAGATGAGGTGGTGATTGCGATTTGGAGATCCCCGGGGCATACTGTATAAGAAAGGGCTTGGGAGGGAGAGGGATATATAAGGCTGATTTAAGGATACGAAGCAACTGTGAAGAGATAGTCGGAAGGAGTGAAGAGCGGAAGGTGGACTGATATAGAGGGAGCGATATGTAGGCTGTTCCTACAGATCTACGAATTAATAGACTTTTGGGTAAATTGGAATTAATTAAAATAAAATGGGAAAATACAATATTCGAAAATCAAATAATCCCGAAATAATAAAATGCGAAATAATAAAATAATAAAATAAAATAAAAAGATTAGATCAAACTAAGAGCACGGGCGTGGAGGATGATCGCTCGGGATGATCAGAGGATAAGCTGTACTAAATTTACACAGGGGCATTGCATTAGACCAGTGCGGCTGAGGCGCGCATTACTGAACGGTCAAGGGGAGCGGAAGGAGTTGGTTGATTGCGCTCTATCAACATTTTGCTGATCTTATTATTGTTTCGGTTTTTCCTGGGGCATTGCACTACTGATCACCAGTGGTAATAGCTGCTCCAATCTGCTCCTGGGTACGGAGTACCTTGGTGTCCAACATGAATATTTTCGCATGGACGATGCGAGAAGCCGAACCCTACTTCAGATACTCCGTACTCGTGGAGCACAACTCTCATGTCCAAGCTCCCGCGGAACGCAACGGGGCTGCCCCACCATGAAAAAGGCCGGTGGATTGTTATGCGCTGGAAATTCAAAGGATCAGGCGCTAGTCCCGATGCGGCATCCCAGAGCCTCGCTTCAAAGCGCCTGCGATTGGATACCGACAGGCACTGCACTTAATCCTAGCTAGTACTAGAGCACAGTACTTGCTACTAGTAGTACTGTGCGGTTATACAAACCTTGGGAGTTTCTTTTTGCCTGTATACTGTATCGACTCTGTGTTTCCTATTCCCTTCGCATTCCTGTTGCTTCTCCGAAAGTCAATCTCGGAGCCGGGGACTCTCAACCATGGAACATCGCGAACTTTAGTCCACTAAATCGAACTAAGCCTGGCGCTAGGCCTAATCTGGATTTAAAAAGAAGGCAAAGCGAGTCAGCCTAGTGGGGCAGGGCCTTTGACCGGCAATCTTGGCATTCTTGGCCTCGCGCATTTACGCTGGCTCCCTGTAGGTTGCTTGTTTCAATGCGCCGATCATTGACAGAAAGGGTGAATGGACAACCCCCCGAGATCCAGGCTCCGAACGATTCAAGACGTCATTGGAGTTCGTCCGGGGAATGGTTGAACGGTCACTTGCAAGGTTCTCTCGGGTTGGTATCCTTCATTCACCAGCGATCAAATTGAATTTGTTCGGCATGTACGGAGTACAGGAATTAAGCCCACGTGTCTCCCATATGGACAACATGGTACGGAGTAAGCTTCTCTACATTTCGGCACCGAAAAGCTCATCCGCCCTCGTGGCATCAAGGATACGCCACCTCCAGGGCTGGATCCTGTTTTAGTACCTCCTTGCAGGTACTATTGGTATAAAACATCAAATCTTTAATTTTATTCTGGTGTTCCTGAAACACGCCATAAGCAGCACCCCTGATCCCCGTCATTTTCTGGAAAGAATCCTTTAATATGCAAGTAAAGCCGTCAAATGAGGGGAAAGAGGGCCAGGGCACAAGGTAAAAACACAAAATGTGGATCCACCGTGAGAAGCAATGCCAAAAGCGAAAGACAATTCAAAATAAGAAAAAAACAAAGGGCCAAAAAGCAAAACCCGCATCAAGGGGCTTGTTCAAGGCTGAATCCTGCCGTGCTGATGCCCGTCACACCGTTTGCCCAGAGACAAATCACGGGAACTAGATGGAGTGTCAGTGGGGGGCAACCAGCTTCGCACGATCCACAAGTCTATGTTATATCGTGCAGATTATGGTAATCCATGATTTGAATCAAAGACAGGACTGCAAGGCATTGTTGTCGCCACATTCTTGAAACGTTTGAGATCCCAGCACTCCGTAGAAAATATCGAAACACATGCAGCTTGCGGGAACTCCCACAGCCCTCTCCCCATGTTCCAAGTTTAGATACCGATGCTGCACCCTGTCCATACTAGGGGCTTTTAGGTCCGATCGGCCGCTGCAGCCAGGGCGCAGACTTGGCCTGAGGCATATAGGCTCTATCTGATTCGGGCTTTACATTGCGAGACAGATCGACACTGCTACCCCATTATCGTCCCGTCGTGAATGATCGCGATTCATGCCTTTCTGGGGAGATCACAGTGGCATGGCGGAAATAATTTTGCGATAATTTCGGGCCAATAAGCCTTTTCAACGGTCAAAATAAGTGGTTCGCTCATGGGCATTCTCTGACCATCGCGTGGGTCCCACGTTATCTTCTTTCTACATGTGTATAAGTGTGTCGGAAATACCCTATCGACATCTGGACCACGTTGTATTGGATGAAGGGATCTCGGTGGGGATAAGAGAGGCAATTCACAATCAACTCGGTGCGGGATATACTCCTTTGGTTTCAGAGCTAGTATACATTTGGGGCGTTGGAGATCGACAATCCACAGCCAGGAAGAGACTGCCAAAGTCCGGGTTTTGCGGGTTTTGGGTTTCGAGGTTTCGAGCGTAGGGCACTGTAGGGCAAGTCATCGGTCATCGTTGCCCAGGTGCGGATACCGTGGACCCTGGGCCAACCGAGTTGGGAATTTTTTGCGAGTAGGTTTTCCCAGGCTAATAGTCTGTTCTTCCTGCATGCATTTGGATCTATGGATAGAATGGCTACGAAGTAGTTTCGGAGAAACTGTGAAGATTACTCTGAATAACTCTACTCCGTGACAATTCTGTACGTTGAATAGTGATGTCAAAATGGCATAGCCTCGAATTCCGGAATGTGAAGAAATCCAGATCAGCATATACGATGTAGCGAGTCAGAGGGCCCGATTCGGTGTTGGTTCTTTTTTTAGGTCATGGTTAAACGCCGGTGGGAGAAAGGCTAGTCTGCCTTGGGTAATCCCAAGAGTCGACTTGGGAAACTGCACTATACGGAGTTCGGAATAATTTTCTTTGTTTGAATCATGCAATCACGATCGAGGGAGGCTCCCGGGCTTTGCGGGTTTTGCGGCTTGGAGCTGTTCCTAAAAGGGAAAAAGGGCATTCGGGTTTTGTCGGTTTTTGCGCTAAACAAAACAAATTATCCTTGCCCATCCAATCGAGCGAATCTCCATCGATCACCCGGCATCTCTCCGACCCTTACCGAACCTTGTGTATGGAGTAGATTTCCCATAATTTGATATTTCACCCAAAACTGAAATGATCGAGGTCTCGGATTCGGGTAGCTAACTGAATCTGAGGCCGCGGAATTCCCGAGCCCTAGTTTCGTCCCTGGGCAGAAAGGGGTCGACCCTCGTGGGTCTGGCCTGTTTGCAGAGCTCAACCCCCAGATGATCGGTGAGTCTCCGCAAGAGCTTGCCCCGGTGGGTCATTTCCGTCTCTCTGAAGGGAAGTTCAAAGCTGTCGAGAGATGGGCCAAATTGAGGCTAATAGTGAATGGCCTGATCATTTCGTACTGTTTACTCCTAGTATACTAGTACTGACACTGACATGTTCAGCTACCTTACGCAATCTTACTCAGATCTGATCTGTATGCTGACGATGATTGGTGGAAGTGTTCACCTCCTCAAGCTGCCCCTGTGCTAAGAGTTGTGACTCGTGGTCCACCGCCTCGGGTTCGCTATACATACCAAACGCGGTTTAGCGTACCCGCTTTGGAGCATTAAACTTGAGTTCCAACGTTCCCCGTTGTAGACGGGGTGGCGCCGAATGATGGTCCCGAGCTTCGAGATTGGACTATTGATGAACTCCTTCATTCCGGATCAACGGGACACATCTCAGGGCTTCGTAGCCAAACCTGGTTTCAATTGCTTTTTACCCGTAGCTCTTTTCTTTTCATTCCGTTTTGTTTACCCCTTTTTTGGTCCGGATGGAAGATATTTCAAATCGAACTTGATTCGAGGGTCCAGAAAGAATTGCACGGAGCACATGGAGTACTACAATAGTAGTATACTGTAGATAGCATACTTTCGCATCGAAGATCCGACCCCGACCATTCCATCAGGATGTTGTGCAAGGGCCAGACCGTTAGACAGCCCTGGAGTCTATAGCACCTACCGAATCCATCCTAGCCGCCACTTAGTCGGTTTTCCCAAGTGCCAAAACCCTAAGCGCTATCGGCCGCGCTCATTGTTCATTATACTATTTGGGTTAGACCGGAGCTAGTGGCTGGAGCTAATCTGCTCCACCAAAGCGGCTATACATTATCCCTGTCCGCACTCCGTGAACTATCCATAACTCATTAGACGGGAAATTTGAAGCTCGCATCCGAACATTGCTCCACTAGTCGCGATACCGTCGGTTTTGCGTTGTCTCAGTTACTCTGAATATCGCTTCCGTCGTGGTGCATATGGCCAACAGACCATCGTGCCAAGCTGGCCAGAAGGGTGATCGATCTGCATTCACAGCCCAATCCTATCAGCGATCGTCGTTATCCGTCAATGCTCTTGTGCTTCTGATGATCGCGTGTTGGGGTCCACGGGTATGTACGAGTATGTGCTACAAGGCCAATATGTAAAGCTTCGGCGAATACTTCAAGTGATACAAGGTATACGGATATGTTTGTGCTGGACTGTTAGAAGACACTGCACCCCAGGAAGTCCACCTCGAATCAGGGAACCCGAATTGGTGATCGGGTAAATCCCGCATCCGATCTGAAATGAGGCATATGGCGACCCCTGCAAACCTATCACTATTCCAGCTAGATTCTCGCCTAAACCCCTGTAGCCACCTGGTAACGAATGCTTTCAGGGGCTAAATGCGAAATGACGTCCACGCCAATGCCAGTGTGTTCCCATGGCCTCTCGCTCTCGGTGCGCTATCATGATATTCTTCTCGTCACAAGCGACCTGCCTCTATCAAGAAATATTGTAGTACTACCTCGTGGGTCTGCTGGATTAACCCCACACGTGCTCAGATCGAGGGTGGCGAATCCTTC